GCAGCTGGCTCTGCTGTTCACCATGGCCTCTCTGAGCAGCTTGACAAAGTAGAGCTGGCTATAGATGAGGAGAGACGGCAAAGTCACCTCGGAGTAAACGCCCAGACATCGGTAATTAATCAACCAGTTGCTTACTTTAAATGATATAACCCAAACCTGCTTCAGAGAGCATGAAGGAGGGCAGCACTTTACCAGAACTAGACAAAGTTACAAGGTCAATTGATATATCTTCACGCGTAGTTAAATAACTGATAACACAAAGTCGGTCGACTCTAAAACACTTACACATGTTTTCATTTTAATTCATTTGTTATAGTCTTCCAACTTCCAGCGGCCAAAAAAGTGTACGCTTTTGATTCATATACCGAAATCCTTCTCTGTTCTGTGTGCAATGTGTGAAAACAGTCTTGACTTGTTGGGTGATAAGCGGCTATTAAAAGTGTCCTCCATTGCTTTCCTGATATTGAATTATTCATGCGACAATCTGCAACTTCCAAGACTTTCTATCGAGCCAGTTAAGGGAGGATCTTGATGCAGTGCTAGCTGCGTCCTTACTCACTTTGTAGGGGACTATATGGTGCACTATTTCGGACACAGCCACATGTGTGACTGTCTAAAACAGGGGGTGGGCAACTTTGGTCACGGCAAGGGCCACATTCATTTAATTCTACCTGCCAAAGGGCCAGATTGTAGTATACAACAAAAACGATCAATTATGAATCAATTATAAAAAAAAAAAAATATATATATATATATATATATATATATATATATATATATATGTCTCAAATTGAACTCAACATATACCAGTGATCAAATATTATTATGGACGTATTTCTGGTTTTCATGTTCATGGCAGATTTTGTCACATTTTCTTCATGTTTCCAATTCATTGATCATGTAAAGATTGACCCGAGGGCCACATTGAGGGTTGATGGGGGCCGCATGTGGCCCCCGGGCCGCCAGTTGCCCACCCCTGATCTAAAAACAAGCAACAGTTTTTTATTTTTTTATTGGAAGGAAACAGTGCATCAGCTGACTGCACTGATTTGATAAGGTCATGTGGTATTCTGATTGGTAATGTGGAGAGAAACACCTGTTGCTTTCAGTTTTCTTTTACTCGAAACAGTAGTTATGATGACGCAGAGAATATCAACACAAATAATGACTCAAATTATTAGAGTAAGAGTTTTCCTGATAGGCACACTTTCTTTTCTTTTTTAAATGTCTAACGTCAGAACACAAACACGGCCTAAAAAAAAACAATCAAAGAGAAAACATGAAATGGAGACATGCCTGAGAACCAGAGCGTGTGAGAAGGACTTCATTTACAGATCAGGTGTGGCTTTTGATTTTTGGATGTCTTAACATTTTGGGCTTGGCGGTACAGAAGCGCATTGCATTCACCAAACTTACGAGATCCTTATCTCATAATTACGAGATCCTGATCTCGTCTAAAAAATGTATTCTTTGGTAAACGCAATGTGATTTCGTAGTAGGGTGGAGATAGTGAAGGAAGCTGCTACCAACCAAACAAAATGATACTGGGACACACAGATGAACAACTAAAATAAGCAATATAATCTTGTTTTTTTTTAGTAATGTTTGGTCTGTTTTAGAGCTGGCATCTATTAGCAATTTAAGGGAACTAGATATCTTAAGGCACTTATTCCGTCCTTGTGTCCATCAGTCAAATCTATGTGTTCGTCTATCAATATTGAATATTTTCCATCGAGGTCGCTTTGCTTATTTTTATGTTGTGTCATCTCTAAACGTAGTCACACGTTGAAAAAAAATCCCAACACCAACTCACTGTGCCGGCTCTTTCCATCACATGTCTTCTGTGTTATTTTATTATATCTTATGAAGTGGAGCCTCTGAGCGCACGCAGAGAGCCCAGGGTCTCCCTCAGAAATATACGAAACAACACATGGAAGACATTTCTGTCCCAGTGACTGATTGTTTCAACACTTGCGAAACATTTGGAATGGAAAAAAAAATAATCCCTTACCAAATCTCAACCTAAAGTTAAACCCTGTCATGTTAGGAATGCAAAGCCAACTCTCATGTGTCAGAGCCTCCCACCAGCACATGGACCCTCACCTCTTGAGTTCATTCAGTCTTTGTGTGTTTGTCTGTGGCATGGAGCACATGGCAGTTTACACTACTTAGAAATGAAATGCCACTTACCAATCAGTAAAGCTTCTATTAAAAAGTGTAAGTGTAAAAACAGTCAGCTTCTGTCTAATACGTCTACCGTTTTGTTTAATGCTGACTTATTATGTTGAGCGAACCTTTAAATAGGCATCCAATTAAATCTCCCTGCAGGGCTCCTCCTGTTCTAGATGAATCCATGAGTTGCCATCAGTGTGAGTCTAGGTTTTTGGGCAGAAGATGCACTGCTTTTAATACAATCGAGCATGCCATGTATGAGTCTGGACTGTGTCATGTAGGGAGGAACAGTGAGTGAGAGGATGGTTGGAAAACAAACAGCGGTTCAGGGGGTTTCTTTGTGTTAACATATAATGTCAGTTTCGGCCACCATTGATAGGCCAGCATGCCTAAGTTGCTTTTCTTTTAAACATCACCGTGATCTGTTTACATGGCTGGTTTAGCTCAGCTCTTGTCAGTTGGGCACATTTCCTTTTGGTGTTTTTTTTTTTTTTTGGTTTTCGTCCATGCAACATTTAAATGCTATTTGATTCTGGAGAAAGATCAGCCCGTTGTCATTCCCATACATTAAAGATTGACCCGTCAACAGTTCTTGGACATGCAGACACGAGGTGACCTGTCACGTCTACATCTACAAATGAAACCCATTCAGTGCAGCATTACGTGCAGAGAGCAATAGATGAGCTACGTAACATAGGACGTTCACTGGAGTACCACACCTGTGTGTTTTTTTTTTTTTCCAAAATGTAACCACACAGAGCGTTCCATGTTGACCAATTAAATAGACAGGAAGTAAAACACACTACCATTATAGCAGAGGTCAAAGAGCTGTGACAAAGCATTCACTAACGACAACCTATAATGAGAATGTTCTGGTAAATGTGTTCATTTTTTCAACTCAATAGCAAAACAAATCCTTCCTCCGGTTACTACTCCGTCAGAAGCCCCTCCCCCCCCTTCAATTGTTAACAATGTTTCTTTTCTATATTTAGGTCTGCTAGATATGTGTTTTGTAGGTTTCCCTGTTAATGCCAGAGCGCAATGTTATTAGAGAAAACTAGAATACACACTAAAGGGTATCAGGATTTAATCACAATCATATAGTTCAACTTTGACCTGATGTTTAAAGTTAAGCCAGGTTGACAAAAAAAAAAAGGCAAGATGCCTTTTTGACACTGTGTTTCGTGATGTAACTGAAGGGGAAGATTGTAACAGACCATGAAGAAAGAGTTACTTACGTGGTGTGTTTTTCCTTTTGCAGGAGCTGCTGGGTCAGAAGGCAGATTACCTGCCTCCTCCCGTGCTGGGAATGGGGGATTGTACAGCCTCCCATCCTCCCTGCCAAAGCCGACGCTCCAGCCGGTGGGCAACACAACGAGAAGGTGAATTGAAAGATTGCGGAAATGTTTAAATAGGAATTATTTTTACTCAAATAATAACTGTGTTGTACACACAGGAAGATGGGATAAGTAGTCTTATATTTAACTCTGGGGGGAGGGAAAGAACTTCCAGACTAAGGCCTGTGTCCACTTAGCGCTGGCATAAAGCGTGTATGCGCTGAACATCAAAGCGCTGTACGTCCGCCCTGTCTCTATGATGATCACACATGGAGCAAAGGGGATGTGGGTACAAGACACAATCCATTGGCGGCAAAAATACGGGGGATATCGTATATGTTGAAAAGAAAGCCGGTGGCATCAAAAGTGCCTTTCTGAAAAGTTGAAAGATTTTCAGCTATGGTCGTCCTCATTGAAAACAACTAAAAAATCTAATAAAAAAAAAAAAAAAAAAGCTGGCACTGAGGAAAAAAAACGCTAGGTAGAAACATGGTTTCTTTAGTAAGGCAGAATCATTTACTGGAATTCTGAACCTAATTCTATTTTTTTTTCTTTCTGTTTTTGCACAAGCGCTTTATATACTTTTTTATGTTGGCAACTTGAAAACCTTCCAGCAGTTAATTGTCTTAACAAATAAAAAAAGCCCTGATGGATTTGTAATAGGTGCTGTAATAACACTGATAATTAAATGGACTCTGACATTGGTTTGTAGAAAGTGTTTGCAGACTCAGAAATTGCTCGGCCTCGTAGCTGCACCACCAATCTGCTAACCTGAGTTCTAATAGATTGTCACATGTCTTTGTTGTTGCAGCCGTGCACATAGAGGGGATTGTGCTCAGGGGCATTTCTCGGACTAGAATAGACAAGGAATACAACTTTGAGGTAGGTGATAACACACACACAAACAAACACACACCTTTCAATTAGGTAAAGATGCCTAACAGAAGCGTTTTTTTAGGCGTAATTCTGTGTTTGTTGATGAAAAAACAACTTTGTTCCGACTATAAACATTGTCGTTTTGTCTTGTGTTTCCTGAAACACACACACACACACACCCACCCACCCACCCACACACACACACACCCGCTTCCTGGTCTGCAACTTAACAACTCCCTGGATGTATGCTCTGCCATTAAAACATGTTAGCTTGATATCAGATCATAACAGGAATCGCCTGAAGATGGACTGTTGCTGTTCATGCATGTCAAATAGATTTCTACATAATGTTTGCATCTGGAAATGTGTGGAAGTTAATTGATGCATGTGTATAAACCTGGGGCAGATTATCTTTATATTCTTGTTTGTTTGTTTTTTTTGCACTAGTATGGCGTTTGCACTCGCTCCTCCCCGGCTCCTGTTAGGTACTCTTATGTATCAGTTTGATGCTAGGCTGGTGGCAGCGCATCAATGCCGATGGGCTTGTCTTTTTTTTTTCGAAAATGAATGTTTTCAAAGCATGGATTCACAGTTACAAATAGGAGCATTTAGTACTCATTTAGTGAAATACAATTTCACTGAGACAGATGGAGAGGAGAGGCTAACAGCCCCGTTGGCTTCACCGAGCTTCCACATTCAGGCCAGAAGCGTTCACAACAGTGAGCTGTTCTAACTCTCCATCTGTTTATACTGAACCAACCCATTGATGCACACATGCAAAGACACAATGGACACACATACAAACACATGCTGCACCAACAAGCTAAATAGGCTGGTTTCATTCTCAACATGTCGCACAATTGGCACATTATTGGTGCACATATATATTGTGTGACGATTCTTAAAGTCAATGAAAATGATTCAGTATTGTCATTACAAGGGGAAAACATGAATATCATCAGTCCTAGAAACAATTATATTCATTAAATAGTTGCAACTAAAACTATACTCTAAAACTTTCTGCACAGCCTCCCTCCATAAAAGGCCCTAACAAGTCTTTAAAGGTCCATACAATCAATCTCATGGTTTGCAGTTAATGTCAGCCAATTTGGATTACTTTCCATTCCATTTGATTCCTCTCTTCACATATTTAGTCTTAAGAATAACACTGTGGTGTTCTTCTACCCTCTATTAATGTTTTCCAAAGGCGAATACAGTTAGTCACAGTCACGAGTAGCTGATGAGCTCATACAGCTCAGAAAAGATATCACATCCCTGTGTCTTAACACAAATGGGATGTTGGCAAACATATCTTTATTGCTTTACAACCTCATCTTTAATGTCCAGTGGTGTACTTTTCCATTCTGCTCTTAAACTAAACAATTCTATTTGAAAGACAAAAAGACAAAAAAGTATTATCGTTGGAACATAAACTAAAAGAATCTGAGGTGTTGTAACTTATATCATAGATGTTTACAATTAGGTTCTTGTGTTGTGTTGGCTTTTTCAGGTGTTGGTTATAAATTGGAGTCGTCTTATCTGTCCCAATTTCTCTTTCTACTGTGACATTTTCCCAAGAACCACAAGCATGGTCACATTTCCTTCATGGCAAAGCTGTTGTCATCTTTCTGATTGAATTGTGTGTGCTGATGGAGAATGTCCTCTGTTGTATTTTTTAGGTGAAGTGGTCTGACTCATCATCGAGTAATGTGACCAAAACCCACCTGGAGCTGGAGAATTTCCTTCTTAAGGTACGTGCTTCTGTTGAACTGATTTATTTTTCAGCGCAATATCAAAGGAGACTAAATAATGCATGCCTCTGACTCGCCTCACAGACAAGAATACCAACATTTCCCGATGAAACCCATTTACATTAAGGACTTTTTTTTGCTCCTGTTGTATTATACAAAGTCCAAAGTAATACATATTTAATTCAGAATTTAAAAGCTTTAGCTGCTTTGATACTAGGTCCTGACACTGTCCATGCTGGCTTACTGTCACTGTAATCATATCCATCTGCCAGAGCATGCAATGATTGTCAACACAGGATTGCAGCAAGAATTCACTTCCATATGAGGAATGTAGCCAGACATTAAAGATGTTTGAAGACAGTGAAAAACTTAATAAGATGAAAAAAGAGCTTGAGGGTTTCTCAGCTCTTTTCTCCCGCGTTGTGTGGATAACCCAGTCACTTCAAAGTCAGTTCAGAACTTGTGTACAGGGGATTTTTCCAAAGATCCAAGTACAAACTAACAATATGGAGTGATAGGTTTAAGTCCAGACAACATTTTATTGGGCGAAGACTACATATTCTGAATGATTCCTTGCTAGAGCTTCAAAAAACACTAACAGACTTGACAGGTTGACAACAGATATACTCATAACGTAAATGTAATGTTAAAAAGTCTTACGAATGAGTCCTCTTTTCTTTGCAGCTTCCTAAGGATCAGTGTACCGAGTCTTTTGAGAAGAGCATCCTGAGGCTTCTGAACCAGGGGGGACCAGAAAGAGAGCAGAGAGGTGGAGAAGAACCTCAGGTACAGTAAAAGCAGATATACTCGCCCAATTGGTCAGATAACGGGGAAGTTGCAAGATTAATACCAAAATATTTGAGTTGTTTTATACTTATTTTAGTTCCAAAACAGTCACAACATATTGATGTTTGCCAAAGACATTTGACATTTAAACACATTTCCTCTTAGATCAGAAGCCATCTCTTGTACAAATAAATTTAAAATTGTGAAAAAGGTTAAAAAAAAAAAAAAAAGGGACACTTCATTACCTCCACAAGGTTAATAGTAAGTTGAGGTTTCTATGGAAGAAAGCTGATTCCTTCTCTTCATCATCTGACGGATCAAAACTTTTCACAAAGGCAGTAAAGAGGGTCCCCATGTCTCTTCAAACAAATCGCCTTTTCCTTTTATTATATGTGTCACAAAGGAAGTGTTATACCTTAGGAATTTGTCTAACCCAGTGTGTAATACTTAGGCCCTGTGTCCACCTAGTGTTTTATCCTGGCAGAAAAGCGCTGGCTGTGCACTCGGTGGCGCTTGCATGAAGCGTTTTTGCGCTGAGAAGAAAAGCGCTGCAAGTCCGTCCTGTCTCTATGACAACAGTCTGTTGACAATGGCCGCTGTATGACTGACACTGCTCTGTTACTTTTTACTGCATGTTTTATAGTTGAGTTTTCACCCACAGCAGACATGGAGCAAAGAGGATGTTGATACAAGACACGATCAAAAATACGGGGAATATACATTTGTAAAAGAGCGCCGGTGCAAAAAAAAAAAACCAGCGCCATTCGGAAAAGTTGAGAGATTATGAACTGGAGTGGTCGCACTAAAATAAAGTAGCACTCAGAAAAAAGACTCGGGGAACTTCAATCATCGCATTCTGCTGCAAACTTTCTTTCCTCGTTGAAAACAAATGAAAAAAAAAAAGATGCCGCCGCTAAGAAATAACACAAGGTGGATGCAGGGACTTCTTGGGCTGTCATTTTCTTTTCTAAAATATTGAATGAATTTTAGAACTTCTGTTAAATAATTCACTTCCATATGAGGAATGTAGCCTTGATATTTTCAAAGTGCATCCATAATGACTGACTCAAAGAAGTGCCTTCAGAACTTCAGAAAAGGGCCAGTTCACTTTAGCAGCCACTGATCTCCTTAACTTATATCTAACGCTCATCCTGTGTTAAATATTTCATGGTGGGATACCAATAAAGTACTTTGGATTCTTTGAGTGACACGTAATGGAAATGTTTTGGGCTTTAAAGATTGCAAACTTCAAGGCTGACCAAAGAAAAGCTGCTGTCCCCACTGTGGTCATTATGTTTTGTTATTTTGATTCCTTCAAGGACAGAGAAGTCAGCTTCGCTCTCCTTTTCTTGAAACTCACTTCAATAAGTGTGGCATGTCGACCTAAGCAGACATAATGTCATGACTAAAGATCAGTCTGTTTTTTTTTTGTTTACGCTCGAAACGAACGCTGCTTTTTACGGTAGATTCTCTGAGCTGTTTGCTGCGGCTTCAGCTGTGTGTGACTGTTCTGGTGAGCCATCCAAATCAGCTAATCAAAGTCATTTCCTGTTATTTTCAAAACAACAATATGGTCAGTTCACCTCAAGTAACCCAACCACCCCCCCCCCCACCCCTCGAGTCCGTCCCACTAAATGAAAATCTTTGCTCTATCACGTCCAGTTTCACTCAGACTACATGATTATCTGTTCAAATCCAGCCCAATGTGTCTTTAGCATGCTTTTTTCATGACGTGCAAACACATCGTGTCAGCTGTGCTTGACAAAAGAAAGAAGTATCCTGTCCATCAGTTTCGTTTTGTGATAAGTGAAACTCTGGGAAAGTGAAACCTAACTGCCTGAACTCCAGAAGCTCTGCCCTGAAACCGGCTGCAATGCAGTCAGTCTGCTGCTCTCTTTGTTTTGGTCCAGGCTTTGTGGACCAGAGGAAATGTTAGAGGATATGCTTTAGCTTCAATGTCTTAACTGCTTTACAGTGTCTGCATGTATTGGCATTGTAAAACAATTAAAGATGTTTGCATGTATTTGTATTCATAAAGCTTCATTTGCATACTGAGGACAAAACATATATGTCCTTTACTTACTGTGAATTTTTGTCAAATATGAAACTGTCTTATCATGTGCATGTGTGTGATTCGGGCCCATGTGTGTGAGAAGCCTGTCCCTATAAATAACAGAGTGTAAAACTGAATTTCCCCTTGGGGATTAATTAAGTATATCAAAAACAAAAAGCTACAGAGCTGTGAAGAACCTGCACGTTGTGGACTTAGTTTAAAACAGTTGAAATCGCACAAAGTTTAAACCTTTTTTCTCTCTGGGAGACCCCTAAAATCAGACTACATCCTAAATGCCAGTTCAGTTTATATTCTGGATTTTGACAGTATGATTCAAGTAAGTTAGAAATGAATACAAGTTTTTATACTAATAGTTGTTGTGACCTTTATTTAAAATGTTACCAAAAGAATGACAAACTTTATTTGACCCTCAGCATTATCCCCCAAGTGACGTCTCAGTTATACACATTGCAGTGGGAGCCAGAATAAGTTGAGACAGTAAAATATTTTGTAACCATGCGAATCCTGAAGAAAACAATCGTCAGGAACATGACATTGTATTTAAGAAAATAGACAAATGTTGGCAACTTTTACATGATGTGTGTGAAGCCTTTAATGTCTTATCCTTTTGCTCTGTTTCTCTTGCTAAGAAAAATGCCATAACAGCCCCCTCCCCCCCTGTTCTTCCTCAATGTGCTCCTGCAGGGAAAGGTTCCTGTCGGCTCCTCCAGTCTTCAGACAGACCAGGAAGGTCTGCAGCTTCTTCAATTGTGACTCCAGTTATTCTTCAAAACCCACCTGCTCTAGATGTGAGTACCAGAGTAAATTCTTACATGTCAGGGAACTTTTTCTCCTTAAAAGCTTTGCTGCTTTAATTTTTTTTTAGATTAATTATTAGCATATCCAGTGACTATCGGTTATCACAGATATGCACTGAGATTTATTCACTAGTCAAATGGCATTTCATTTGAGTTTCATACTTTTACACGAGCAATTCTCTTTCACCAGCAAAGTAGGATAAGATAGGATAGGATAAAACTTTACTGTTCCCTCGAGGGGAAATTCGGGCATTGCAGCATCACTCGACACAAAGTCAGACACGTTTCTGGTTTATGTTGGCCTGCGCCAGGGTTGCCCCTTGTCACCAGTCCCGTTGGTGCGAAGCAGCTGGGATGAGGGTTAGCACCTCCAAGTCCGAGGCCATTCAGGGTAAGCTCGGAGTAGAGCTGCTGCTCCTTCGCATTGAAAGGAGCCAGTTGAGGTGGTGTGTGCATCTGTTAAGGATGCGTCCTGGACGCCTCCCTTTAGAGGTTTTTTTTCCGTTGCTGGGTTGACCTAATGTGCTTGCTGCCACCGCGACCCGACCTTGGATAAGCGGAAGATAATGGATGTATGGATAAGATAAATATAAATAAAAAAAATTGAGGTATAAGTACAATATAAATGGTGAAATGAACTGTACAGGTTAAGACACTATGTGCGGTCTGCTATATGGATATACCGTGTCGGATTTGTTTTCTCCCCAATATTGATATCAGCCCCAAAAATCCCATATCGGTCGGGCCCTAATTCAAACAGGATATTACTCTTCTGTAAAACATAAAGGGCAGACCTGTAAATGACTCAATGTACAGTAAGTCAGAGTTTTATTCCAAAAGTGGGGACTGCTCAGGAAACCTATTCATCTCTAGCCCACTGACCAAAATGTGGTTCTGCTGTCAATAACACAACTTGCTTCTTCTTTATAGGTAACTGCCAGTTGGGTAAGGCCTACCAAGGAGACTCCAGTCAGGAAGAAGGTGAGAACAAGTGATTCCACATATTTCCTGTATTATTTTTCTCTCTGTGGAGTGTAGACGTGGTAGCCTGTTTTTTTTTTTTAATTTGGAAGGATCTAACCAGGCCTGCAGTCGTAGCTGGAGCTTCTTAGTAAACATGAAAAGTTAACTAGTATTTATTTTTGGAGGTCGGCTGGAAAGGCCGAGTCTGTTTCAATTCCTCATATTTCACGGCTATATTTGCCTGATCACGTGCTGACCTGAGTTCAGCTGGAGCAGCGGTAACCTCAGCCCCGGCCTGCTGCATACTCGTGTAAGAATGTTTATTGCCAGAAGATCTTGTGAGTGTTGGATTGAGGTTGTACTCATGATTATTGTACTTATGTTAAATCAGTAGAAATACGATGGAGGGTCCATTATGTAGTTTGTGTTTTTGAACTTCGTTTCCTGTACAGTGCAGGCAAAGCTTTACGCAGCCTATCCTGTGAGCCTGAGCTCAGGGCAACAAGCCCCACTGATGTGCCATTGGCTGCCACTAAATGACAGCCAATGGAGAGGCCCCCCTCAGTTGTAAGCAATCATTTGTGTGTATTTTCAGGATTTACAGCTGAATAAACTCACTGCCATTAGTAAATAAGTAAACATTTCGAAATTGGTCTACATATTTGCAGATTAGTTTACACATTTCTGGATCTTTTTACACATTTCTGGATCTGTGTGGCAATTTCTGGATCTGTGTACGCATATTCAAATAGTTTTGCCATAATAATAGCTCCATTATCAACAAACATTTACAGCAGTGCTGTGTGTATGAAACATAGAAATAGAGTTCTGTGAAAATGAAATTAAAAACAAAAGAAATTATCCCTTTGAGCTGGACTTCCAACTCGAATGCTCTTCTTAAGAGATTTTAGTTCCAGGGGGAAAAATCCAGGTATGTGTGTTCAGTGTCAATGTCTACTACCCGGTAAGGTCAATAGTGTGTTTGCATCTACAGTCAGAACAAATGAATCAAGCAATCTGACGTCCTCGGGGCAAGTCCTGCAGCTGGCCACACTGCATAAATGACCTGTTTTAAGTTAAACTGCTCTTGTTCTTTTTCTGTTATTGTCTCCTTTTAAGGCCAGAAATCAGTGGAACAATAAGAGAGGGGAATGTTTTGACTCAGTTTGATGTGTTGCATTTCTGAGTGCCAGTAATGTGTCAGTGCTTTGACCTGACCTCCTGAATATTTTTTTTTTCACCTTGCAGACTTAGAGTCGTACGTTCAGGGACACAAGAAAAAGCACGGGACCAAGAGTCCATGTCAAGGGTAAGGAGAGAGTCTGTGGTCTCATCGATTAAATAGCATAACCAACAACTCTTAAATAAATATGAATTAAAATGTTCAACGTAAATCTAATCATGTAAAGGCAGTGAAATATGTTGAGAATACATTTTTAATGGCCTTTTTTTGTGATTGATAAACACACTTTTAATGGCAGTTCTTATGCTCTTCTATCTCCACCAGTCTCTCCAGTGCCAAGGCCCCCCAGGGAGATGGTCGGCGGGGGGGCCACACTGCAGAGCTCAACGGTCCTGCAGAGAGGAGGAAGGCTGACCAGGTGAGGGCCGGGCAGCAGAGTGGTTTAAAAAAAAAGGACAGATATCTCTGCTTTAAATCTTCACTTAGTCTGCTGGTTTCTTTCCAAAAATGAAAGTCACTTAAACGATCATTTACGTACCCCACATCGATTATCATCTAATGATCCTCATTAAAATCCTTCAGATGTATCGTTTCCACAACAAGGCTTTTGAAGCTGAGAAACAATCTTTGCACAGGCCGTTTCCCGCATCAATCACGCTGTTGCCATTTGTTAAACACTTTGTTTAGAAAGGAGTGAAAACAATCAGCTTCAAACTTAGGTTAGAGTCAGTTAGTTCTCCATTTGAAGGTAAAGTCAAGGTGTCTCCTGACAAGTTGTTTTCTAAAGTCTGTAGAAGTCATTTTGTCAACATGCAAACATTGTTTAGTTTCTACCTATAAAAGACAAAAATCACAATAATGAATTGACTGTAGGCCTGCTGCGCTGTTGAAGGGGGTCAAGTGGTTCCTGTCATGTAACAGCAGCACAGATAGTCAGCAGTGTTGGTCTAATGATTAACTCAACTCTAAAGCTCAGAAGCCCAGCTGAGGAGAATTCTTCGAACGCTAGTTAATCATTTTACATGAAGGCCCGTAGTATTGAGTTAAAATAGCTTTTCCGTTTCACGAATGAGGCAGAGGCATGTGTGAGGGTCAGAGTGTGTGTGTGTGAGTGAGTGTGTGTGTCACACACTGCCACGTGAATGGGAGTACTCACCGCTAATCTCACTTATTTAGGTCAAGACTGTGTGTATGGAGGAGTGGGAGGGGAGAAAGCCCTCTGCTGACACAGCATGGAGCTCTCTTTCTCTCTCTCTTTCTCTCTCTCTCTCTCTCTCTCTCTCTCGCTATCTCGCTCTCTGTCTGTCTCCTGTCACAGAACAGGCTTAACACTTTTCAAATGTCAAATGTCTTTCTGTGCGGCTGGACTACTCGTCCCTACTAAGCTATGTTTATTCCCAAATATTGTTTGTTGATTTCATTTAATAGGCAATTATTTGATTTCCTGTGTTATGAGTAGTTTAGGTATACTATGCAGGGTGGGATTGTTCCTCAGAAAGTCCACATGGTTATTCATGGTTGTTAATACTTACTTGTCAACCAGAAAACCCAAAAATAGACAGTTTATCGTGACTTGGGAATTTCCTAAATGCATTAATCATTTTGATCTGTATAAAGGAATTGTACACAATAACTATGACATCATCATCCATTTGTTTGTGCCTTGAAGCCTTAAGTTTGGAAATGTGTCTGCGTCATTTCTGCTTTTTATTGGAGCTAGAAGAGGGACAACAGGGTGAATAACAAATTACAAGTAAAGCATACCCTGCTTTTAAAGACTATTTGACATGATTACATCGTGACATGTTGAAAAAGACTTGAAACTAGAGATTGAGATGATACACTTATTCAGATATTTTCAGAGGTAATCAATCCATTAAGAATGGTATTTTTGTTCATTAGCTTACATTTATTGCAACCCATGGAATTGCCCTCTGCTGGCCAACTGAAGAAGTGCAGCTTTAAGGCACAGCCTACAGCCAGTGCCTACAGTATGTCCACTTCTCACTTCAAGTCCTGATTTGAATGGAGATTAAAAAAGGACTCAATTCAGAAGTTACATACAATGTACATCGTACATAGTTATTATGAATAAGTACATGTAAAACATATACCACTTTGATATAAACATATACCACTTTACTCAATGAACCTTTGGAAATAGGGAATTTCTATTATTGGGTTATATTTTAAAAATCAGAGCCTTTGCTGAAAACTTTCCTCTGCTTACATCTCTCATTGTTTTTACATTTGTGAGAAACTAAACAAGTTATTGTATTCTGTTGGGACTATATGATATTTACTTTTTACTCAATAGAACTGGACAAAAACAGTTTTTTCTTAAATCACATGAGGCAGTGGTACTGGAAATAATAATAAAAAAAAAACATGAAGAAAATATAATAAAGATGACAACAAGCACTGAAATCCTAGATTCATTTTCTATTAAACTTCACAGACTCTGTTTAAGTTCTGGTTGAATCTTGTGAAGCAGATCTGACTTCCTTGTTCTCCTTACAGAACCAGGACGCTGACAAGAGAAGCCACCCAGTCACTAAATCAAAGAGCAGAGGCCTGAATACAGACCGGTGGGTTCACTGATCGTGGTTACAGCAACTTTGTAGCCATCAAGAATGATGTGGGAAATATCGACTTAAGATATTGAAAGTCAGATGCTTACACTGACAGCCTCTCTGTCTTTTTTTTTTTTTTTTTCAGGGACAAGGGGAAGGGGAAGGGTGCTGCTGCCTTTGTAGCTAATGGTAGGCATGTACCAGTTCTGTCACCTCAGAGGAAAGGTGAGTGAAACAGATTTGAAATGAAGCTGTCACGTGCAATAGTAATTACACTGGTTGAGTGTTGCCCCTCCTGGTTTGGTCAGAGTGAACCGTGTATTAGGTTTAGAATCAAATTCAAAACAGGTTAAGTCAAAGAAATATTTGGTTCTGATTTGCCTATTGTGCATGGCAGCAAGTATCCCTCACCATTACTAGGGGCGCTGCTTTTATCATTGACATTAAAGCAGGGGTTCCTAACCTCTTCTCCTCAAAGCCCCCCATTACTTAAATCTGAGACAAGCTGAGCCCCCAGCGCAATAAATGTTACATTGCTGTCGATATTAGAATCAATTTGAATGGTTGTCACTGATAAATCCCCAACAGAATAGATGTACACACGCGTGTCCTTACCAAAAGACCCATTTCTAAACTATCCAGTAACTGTATTATCATATGTGCGTAGCTAAATATTGCCTGAGATGTTTGGTGCCCCCACAAGGTAGGACTGACTCTAACCATATTAGTCCGCGGAAAGAAGTCCGGTTAATTTGACATTTGTCTTCTTTGGGATAAGCAGCGAGGAAGTGGTGAAGTGTTGTCCGCTGTGACAGAGAAATATATATGCTTTGGGATATGCCGACGTCTAAAGAGTGGCGATCGTTGTCTACATTGATTACAATTCAATAGGCTGCCAAGGAGATTATTTCAAATGGTTTCTGGCACATTTTCATATGTTGAATCTTCAGTGGGGTCTGATTTCCTTTTTTGTCTGTTGTTCTCCACACATTGTTGCAGATGGAGGTTCAGGTCCAGATACATTTGGTGAAATGTCATCAGAAAGCTACAGCTCTCCATCCAGCCCTCAACACAGAGGACCAGAAAGTATGGAGAGTGAGGACGACAACAACAAAGGTAAAACAACTCAATCCATGTCTAAAGTCAACCTTTGTATCAAAGCCTGCACCTGTAGTGTACTCACTGCCCTCTATCTTGTTTACTGTAGATACAGACAGCCACTCGGATGACTCCAGCAAAGGTCCGGGTCCTGACCTGTTCTTCGGTCACCAGACTGATCCAGCTGTGGTGGGGGAAGTCTCCGCTGTCCGACCTCGGTCTTCCAACACTCATCAGGCCCAGCTGGAGCCTCTTTGCCCCGAGACCAGCACAGACTTCCCTCCTCTCTCGTTCATGCATCCTCTGCCCTATGTGCTCCCTAATGGAGCTGTGGACCCTCCACTTCCACTGATCCCACCTCCCAGTCAAAGCATTATCCCGGATGTAAAGCCCTCATCTGGGGCCCTGATGATGCAGCTGCCCCTAGTGCCTCCAGCTGTTCCTGGACTTGTTGGCGACCCAGAGAAGAGGGACATGCTCCGAACATTTGGGATCCCACCGTTGGGCCTCCATCCTACAGGAAGTCCTGCTGTGCAGCCTCTGGTTCAGAGGTTCAAAACTGCTGTGCCTCACAGCCAAGGTATTAGTGATGGAGCTTCAGGGAGTGGATCTTCTCCGTCTGCCCCGCAGTCCCCACACCAGGCCCCTGTTAGGGCCATCAGTGTCTTGTCTCCTGGCCCCACCTCCTTCTCTTCCCTTCCTCAGCAGTCTCTGCCATGCCAAGACCCGGCCAGTGCCAGCTCAGGCCTGGCCCCGTGTCTGCCACATGTGGAGGCATCTCACGCCAAACATCCTGGTTTAACCTTACCCTCAGGCATGCCTTCTCCCTACACCCTGCCCTCTGCCCCTACCTCCGTCATGCCTGCCACAGGAGCCCCTGCAGCCACTGGAGGAGCCCCATCTCCTGGACATGTACAGACAGCTGTTCCTCCAGCTGTGCCCACCCATACCCCTGGACCTGCACCCAGCCTCAGTCCAGCTCTTACTCACAGCACTGCACACAGTGACTGTACATCATATAGCAACAGCAGCTCTTCCTGTGGAAGTGCCCCTGTTGTCCCTGGCAACCCTATTGCCCTTCAGCAATCACAGCAGCAACAATTGCCCTCGCAGCAGCAGACACAGCACACAGCAGCAGCAGCAGCAGCAGCAGCAGCAACAACCAATAAGCTGTGGGACCTGTGGTTGCCACAACAACTGCGGCAGCCGAGGCAACGGCAGCAACAACAACACTGTCAGTGGTGCCTCTGGATGCCAGGCACCCCTGTTTTTCCCCGCACACCAGATGGCAGGTGTTCAGCGGCAAGTGTTCAGCGTCCCGCCACACCTGTTCCAGCTCACGAGCCTGTGCAGTAACAGTTACCTCCCCCAGGCCCAGCCTCCTCATCAGGCCAACGGCGGGGCCACCCTGCCCACCTTCTTTCCCACCGCTCCACCTCCAACGCATCCTTCACCCTACGGCCCCCTCCACACCCACTCTCACAGTCATGCAGAGGTGCCGTCACACATGCTGGGCACCCAGGCTGCAGCGGTGGCCGCAAACTACAACCTGCAGCAGCAGATGGCATCCGCATCGTTCTGCCAGCGCGTGTACCAGCATGTGTACCCAAACCCCCTGAGCATGCTGCCTGCTGCTGCGGCTGCACTTGGAGGAGGCGGAGTCAATAAGAAGAATGGCCATGTGTCCTGTTATAACTGTGGTGTGAGTGGCCACTATGCTCAGGAGTGCAACCAGCCCTCCATAGACTCCACACAGCAAGGTAGTGCAGCTACACGGAACAGGGACAAACAGAGGACCCCTTAGTTTTCACAACTCAGTTGGTCATCGTCACTTGAGTCTTTTCACTTCTTTTAAAGCCTATGTTTCACCTTTTTTATAGATTTTCCAAGTTTTGTTATGAGTGCAATGTCTTCTTTGCCTCATTTTGGTTTACTAGAATTGTTTTCAAAGGCTCATTACTGCCAAAGAACAAAATAAACAATGACGTTTTTCAACCATTGACGACTAACAGCAGCTTGAAAACGTTCTCTGACAAGAATTTACTTTTTTGGGGGGAAGCGTGTCGCACAGTCTTTTCAGGTTTTGAACCTAGCCTGTTGGTAGCACCATGTGCTGCTGGTCAATGGTTTGAAAATCTCTACGAACGTGGTGTCATGCACCAATATAATATCTTTTAAGATGTCACAAAACAGCAAAGAGAGAAATCTTTGATTCTGCGTAATTTTCTTTTTTTATGTAATTTTTTTGGCCAAATACTGATGTATAGGTGATAAATAACAACAAAAATGTGATAAAAAAAGTGATATTTTATTGCACTAAAATGTTGTGAACTTAATTTTCATTCAAAAAAATGAAGAAGCAGAAAACCAGGGACTGCTAGGACTGTGCTCAAACTGTCAGTTTTTTTGTTGACGTTACTTTAAGTGAGTTGAAATTGAAACCTGAACGTGTACTTCAGTACATTTAAACTTCTAAGAAGACACCCGATAAGTTTCAAGTAAAACCCTGCCTTACAACACTTGATCCCCTCAGTTACCTTCAGTAATATTGTTTATCTAACTGCCCACTGATTGTATATATCTGTGTGTGTTTGGATGCATCTCTGTATGTGTGCATGTGGTCTGTTTGTGTGTTGGTGTTTGCATTGCAGGTGGTTTCCGGTTGAAGTACGCTGCCTCCCACATTTCAGAAGCACTTGACAATGCTGAATGAAGAAGACGAAGAAGAAAGGCTGAAGAGGAGTTCCTCTGCTGTCATTTCCACAGACAGCCTTCTGTTCTCCCCCCCTGCACTGTATACTAGCACACGGGGGGAGACTCAAAAAGAGTGACCTGTCAAGGGCTCAGTGGACAAATCCTAAGTACTTGTGCCTGAGAAAGTCTTTTTCCCATGGAGATGATGCAGTGTCATGTGACTCCTGCTCCCTTCCCTTTCAGCTTGTTTTTGATATTTTTGCACTGAGGGTGGGAAATGACTAACTTATTACTTAATTATTAGGGAGTTCAGAGATTCTGGGAAATGTGTTTTTACATGCAAGTGGAGGCTGAAAAAGGTTCTTTTAGATGTTTCTAAAACAGCACATTTATACTTTTTTCCTAATTATTACCGTTCATCGAGGATTTTAAAGTCCGACAGAATTGTACAGCAGTTTCAAGGGTTAAAACGAGAATCAAAACAGTAATGTAAGGAAAATGGTTTGAGGCTTGTTGTTTTTATTTGATTTTTTTTCTTTACGGTTTTGAATGTACACCTTCATGCATTTTTGCCACTTGATGTTTAGATGGAAGGTAATTGCTGCTTTGTATTTTTTTTTTTTCTTCTTCAGTTTTTAAGTTCTTTGACTTGCGCCATAGTGAGGCAGGAACACGTGAACTAAAACAGTCCCTGAATACTAATGTTAGAATTTCATCTCACCTTCATTTTTAACGAATAATCTTTCAATCCACTATTTCGACTGTTCTGGTCAGATGTGGAACAATTTAGAGAGATGAAGTTAAATGTAACTACAGGAGTAAAACACAATGATAGACAGATGGCAATGTTTGTGCTCTTAAAATGATATTTGTGACCCCTGAGCTTCAGTATTATTAGCACAAAAAAAATGTTTTATATTGTATTGATTTATGATCTTTTGAAGATTACTAGCCCCATTTGACTTTTTTAAGTGTTTCCCTCTTAATACCGGATCAAAAATGTTGAACCACTTTGGAATGATTTGATTAGCAGTTTGCTTCAAATAAGCTAGAACTGTCCAACCATGTAGCTTACAAGTCAAACATTTTACCTGCTCCAAGAACTTGTAATCCTCTTAGCCTGAAATTTTAACTGAAAAGTTTTTTTTCCACATGTCATTCAATCTGTTCATATTTCTATTTTTCTCTTTGTGTGGATTGGGGGTTATTTTGTGTAGCTCTAATTGTTCAGTGCTTCCTTGTGTCTGGCTCTTGAAATGTCTAAATGGAATCTGCAGTGATGATTATTGAGCACAGAAGCTAACACTGTTTAAATGTCAAACTGAAGAACTATGAATAGTAAGAAGTGAGAAATAATATTTAAGTGTGTATTTATATACAAGTAAACTTTCAACAGTAAAGCTATTTTGATTTCATTCACACTTGATGCAATTTTTCTGTCAGTATTTTGAATGGATGTTACTAGCTCGTTTGTTGAAGCCCATCCCAGACCAAGTGAGGCTGTAGCAGCTAAATCCATATGATCTTTTTTAGAAACTGTCCGACATTGATAATTTCAACAAGCTCCCTGTTTGAAGCATACTGAGGTTTATAGAATAAACCACTTGGGTAATAATGGATGCTTGTTGACACTTGTTCATCTAAATACTTTAAGCTTGACTGTCTGACAACATAGTACAGAGATCTGAGCAGCTACTGAATTTGTACTTACAAAGACAAGGATAGTGAATACTATGTACACAACAGACAGGCTAGGCTCCCATAATTTAGAAATATGGTAATATAGAGTGCTCGATACATTAATAGAGAAATAAAACTAATGTTGCCCTGAGCAACTTCAGCTGTCTGAAAAATCATTTTTTTCTGAACTGAGATACTAGAAACAGCAACTGGCAAAACTGTGTGTCCTAATGATGTCATGAACAGCCTTAGAAGAGTTTGAAATATTTAGGAAACCTTAATGAATGAGGAGCCTTAAAGTAAACTACTAAAAAGTTGGTGTAATAACTCAATAAACTATTGAAGCACCACGCATTATGCTGAACTTTAATTTGACATTTTTAAAAGTGTACTTGTTTGAAACAAAGCTGTCACTTTCTTTGTCATTCTTATCGCCTCACCGTTCAGCTAACATATTAGTATGTCTATTAAAGCTCAGAGCTAGCCAGCTAGCAACAACAAAGCTAATGTTATAGTGGATCAACGTCTACCTGCTGCTGTAAATAAACAAAGGTCACAGAAACTAATATAAACTCATTTTTGGTGTACAAATGGTAACTAAGATAGCTTTTTAGCATCAATGAAGGGACATTGTTAGCAGTAACAGCGTATTGTTGTTGCAAACAGAATATTTTTTGTTGAATTAACAAGTAAAAACAAGATTTCTCTGGTTTCTAAATTAAATATGAGCTAGCTAAGACTGCGGTCACATGCTCTTCAATTTGATGTTGAGTAGTGATCCCAAATTTAAAAGTAGCACTAGCAACCTTGACTTTAAACTGAACTGTGTGAATATGGCTTATTTACAGCAGCAGCAGTGAGTAAATTCAGGACTACTTTCACGTTGTTGCTCTAGCTAACACAAGCTAAGTGTCTAAAACTAGGAGAATATTTGTTGAACTCTCTAGCTCTAGAGAAAGGGGACATGTCAGCTGAAAAGTAAGACGACGCTGACGACACAAGTCGCAAAATCTTTTAGGATTTAGGAAGAGGATGAGTGTGTCCAAACTGATACAATTTCATTATAAATACAATTTTCATTACATTTAACTCACTAAAGATTTGATACTGAACAGTTTAGGGTTTTCAATGATACAATGTGTTCAAGTTGTTTTCTTAATACTGAGTAACATAACTCCATAACATTGAACACAATTTTGATAAAGAAGTGTGTACTGTGTGAGCATCTGAGTGTTGCCTGTCTCTCTCTCTCTCTGTGACAAACAGTGTGTCTGTGTGTGTAACTGTGGTATGGAATGGTTCTCAGTATTGTGTTGTTCCTGGTCAGGGAGGTGTGTGTGTGTGTGTGTGTGTGTTGACTCTCAGGCTACTTTGTGGACGCTCTGCTTGTATTTGTGGTTTTTTCTGCCATAACTGCTAAACTCACTGTCAGTGCTTTAGTTAATTTAAAATCTATGCATAAACCTTTAAAAAACAAAAACAAATCTTGACTTGACTGTCATGTTGCAGGCCTTGAGATATTGTAAGTTAATGTGTACAGCGTCTGACACACTGCTGTGAGGAAAGACTGTCTCCCATTCACTTTGAACATTATGTCCTCAACTGCTTCCCAGAAACGTTCTTCCATTCACGGACACTTGAAGTGGCTCTGAAGCTCCTGCAAAGTTCTGGATCCAGTGGTCACAAGCAGACATGGACCACTCAGACTGGTGTGTGGATGAACGAGGGGGGGGGAGTCCAGTGTATATACTGAGGAGGATGCATCTAATAACAAAAGCCCAAAGCTGACCTTGATGGTTTGAGGAAAATGCTGTACTGTACACTTGCAATGGATCACTCTGCTGCAACCCTCAGTTATAATGTTTACTGTAGTCTTTGATATTTATCTATTGGAAAGGTCAAATATATTTCTAGAGAGGAATTTGGATTTTATGCAAAATGTTGATCTGTTTTTTCCTGTAATTAAAAGCAATAAATATAAAAAAAAAATTAAAGAAATCAAATTTTCCTGCCTTGTTTACTTCTTTATAGAGATAGTTTACAGCTAGCGCCACATGTTACGTTTCCTGACTCGATGTATGTTGTGAATAGTTAGAAAGATCGGGTACGTACTTTGCTCGAGATAAGAAACTGAATTTATTTAGTTTAATTTATTATTTTGGAAATGGTTACCTTGATGGTATCAGATTTGATATTGTAGATGTATTCACATTTATAAAACGTATGGTATTAAGTTTGGACATGGATTTCAATGATCACTGAAGTCGAGAGACTATAAAGTATGCACAGCATAAACAGGCCACTGGTAACACTGGTGACACTGGTAAAAGCAGACACTGTCTACTGACTGACACACCTTGAGTCAAACCTTTATTTCTTTATCGTTCGCACAAATGACTGGAATCTGCAGTCTGGAGGAAACGAAAAGAGCAAAACAACTCCAATATAACAGAATAATATACTGACATTTGTTGTGAGAGATATTGTAGATAAATTAGTTGAAACATGAAGCTGATAAGAACAGAGCTCAAGTATCTGTAATTCACTTGTAGCCAGCTAGCTTCATAAATTGACTTTTTATTTTATAAAAACTTTATTCAGGTAATTATTAGTTGCTTTAACATATACACAAAATACATATATAGAAAATGTATGTATTAGACGATAAATACTTTGACTTAATAGAAAAAAGTGGAATATTTCAACAACTACAAGCAGCTTACCTTTTACTGATAACACAATGTTACTTTGTTCACGACCAGAAATCGAAAACCAAACATTCAGAAAACGAGTCTTCTTACAGAGCGATACTTAAAGTTAACATGTATGTTCTCTGTGTGGATGGTTTTTAGTGTTTTGCTGCAGAATCTGAAATGTGGTGCGTTTGTTTTGGAAATGTTTAACTTCGATTGTTCTGCAGAGACTCTATAAGACTCTTGTTGTACTCGTCGACCTGTTGGAAGACGTTCTTGGCGACAGAGTCGTAGTCGCTCTCCTGAGATTTAGAGACGATGACTGATGCTGCAGTTAAGGAAAGATCACTGCTGTGGACAGTGCCTACTGTTTTTAACCAATCAAATAACGGAGTAATAAAAAGATCGAGAAGGATACACTCTTTCATGACAAAGTTGTTCTGCTCCAGGTGTTGCCATTTCCTCTCAAGGTTAGCCAGCTGAACACACAAACAAACAAAAGTTACTATGAGCAGGTTAGTGAAAGATTACAGGTCATAAAATGGTCTGTTTACTTTGCATTACTGAGGGTAATGAACTGTGGTTGGGCCAAATGATCTCAGTGAGCTCCAAAACCATCAGAACAAAATCCCTTCTGTTCATTTAGCTACCAACTCCAGTCTAACGATGCTATCTGTCATTCTGCCAGGTTTTTTCCATTTAAAAAATAACGACACTACAACAAATGAAAAAAAAACTACTGCAGTGTCTGACAAATAACTGCAGCTGCTGCAGTGCCACCAAAACTAAAATAATTCTCTTTATTAGGAAGAATACTATGTACAAGATACAAAGCAGAATCTAAAATCTGAAGGCAGTGTCGAAAAGTTGCAGATAAGAAATCAATAAAACTGTTTTAAGTTCTTATCAGAGCAGCCATGAATTTGAATTGTGGCAGAACTCCTATCTATCTATCTATCTATCTATCTATACACAGTGTAATTGTAAAATGCTCAAACCTGAGTATGAGTCTCATTTTCTTGTAGTTTTGTCTTCAGTGCTTCATATTTCTGGTTCATTTCATCCAGCAGCTGTTTGAAAGATTCCTGACGCTGAGACAGTGACACTCGCTCCTCCTGTAGTCTCTGCAACAGAACACAGCCAGTTAGTTTACTATTGAGTCTATTGAGACAGACAGTTTGGATATGTGTTTAATCAATCAAAGTTCCTCAGTGAGCTGATTGGAATGATAGTTCGAAATACTAACATTTATAGCGAAAGTGCACATACTGTGTACAACAGATTGATGTTCTCCATTTCTAAGGGCACAATCACACTAGGAAATTGTGCCTAAGCACGATTCGACCCTAAAGTCCAGTTCATTTGACTAGTGTGAGTGCCTCGATCCGTGCTCAGGCTCGGTACACTTCCTTGGCCATGGCACGCTTGGAAGAGGTGTGGTTCAGCACTGTACAGTTCATACACAAGCACAGGCACACAGCGTGGACAGCCTTTATTCTCGAGAAATCCTGGAGTGTGTGGAGCTGTTTCTAACTAAAATGACTCAAAATAAGCCACAAAGTCAGTAAAATAGCCGTCATGTTCTCTGTGTTGTTCTCTAACGTGCGGACTCGACCACAAGTCCCTTGTTTATTTTATTTGAGATTTTTCCGAGTCCCCCTATTCTGTAATCTAAGCATGCTTTATAACTATGTAAAGCCATTCATGTGTTGTATTACGACGTTTGTACAAGAGGTAACGGTGCTCAGGCCCGGTTAGTCCTGGAGCAGTGTGAGTGCCGGCCAGCGGGACAATGGGGGAGGGGGGGGGGGGGGGGTACGGCACAACTTTGCTTGTGTGAGTGCGCCCTGATACTGCTGCATGTCTCTGAATTGACGCCTCAATTTACCTTTTTTTTCTCCTCTGCCTCATGCCTCAGAGTGTCCAGGTCCCTGTAGATGTGCAGCTCAGTCTCCATGGTGCTGACTCGCTCCTTTAGGGTGTTGAGCTCACCTGAGATCTTCCCCTCTAACTGCTGCATCTTCTCCAGGTCCTGCTGGAGACGCTGCGACTCTGGGAGGAGGTTAGTAAGAAAAAAGAGGAATAAGAGGAATCGATGTTTTTGCTTGTTTTGGTATGTTAGTCTTTGATGCGATGCTTACCAGTTGTCAATCCTCTGGCGGTGCTCTCTGACTGAACCACCTCTGTCTCCTTGCTGACCAGCACTTCCTGCATGTCCTTCAGCTCATTAGCTGTCACTCGATCCACCTGCTGTAGCCGCACCATGTTCTACACACGCATAAATACACACAGATTACACACTTAGTCTTCTCTACCACACTATCTTTAATGTCCGTCCATTGCCCTCTTTTTCTTTTCCCCTTCTTACCCGGCTGCAGTGTTCCAGCAGGGCGACTATGTTCTCCTGGCACCGTTTTATCTTCTCCTGCTCCATGGCCCACGTTTCCTCATACGTCCCCATGTACTCTGAAACAGAGACCGAATTTAAGGGAGCAGCTGATATTTGATACTACCTGCATGTTTTCACATCTTAAATACTAATCATGACACATGAACTCTGTGTTCATTGAATGTAGTGACTTTGGCGACCTCTGTTGGTAGTGTAAGAGAAAACCATGCAAAGTGCATTGTACTGTGTATTTGTTGATCTTTGTATTCCCCAAATGATTTACATTTACAGATACTTGTTAATCTTGTGATTCACATATGACTAAATAATGATGTGATGGAATTTACTAAGACACTTCAACTTGTCTTAATATTAACCTCTTCTTGATTGGCTACTAAATCTGTATTGTTTTAAAAAAATAATAATACATTTTATTTAAAAAGCACTTTTAAAAATACTCAAATTACTTTTTAACAGCGACTATTCCACGCTTAGATACACAATCTATATGATAGCACAAATATTCATATCCAAGATATTGACTGACATCTGGTAGTGACTAATTGTGATTCCTGATATTGCACCTGATACTGCATTAAAAATTCAACTCACGATCAATGTCCTCCTCCTTTCTCTTCAGCTCCTTGTATTTCTGCTGACATTCCCCTTGTAAACAGAGAAAAGAATAGTTTTAACGTTTGGGTACAAGAGTTTGGTAGGGATGTCTCAAATATAAAAAAAACACTAAACACTAAAATGAGACTGATGGTGACTGTTGCAGTTTACAGCATAATACATGGGTCCAAAGTGAGACACATTTTAGAGGGCCGTTTTTTAAAAGCTTACGTCAGGTAGAAAAATTTGTGATCGGGTTTTTGAAACGTTGAAAGCAGCCATCAGTCATTACCCTGTGCCTCCTCTGAGTCCTGCTCCAGCTGACGGATCTCCTCTGAGATCTGTGCGGTCCTTTCTCTGATGTCTGTAAGCCTGAAAACATACACACTCATCATTACAGGGAAAGTCAATCAATCAATGAAACAATCTTTATTTGTACACCAATTCATAACAGATGTTATCTCAAAGACACTTTACAGAACAGCCGGTAAAAATGATATTATCTAAAAATGGTGAATTAAGTTAAATACACAGGATGACAAAGCAACTCTACAACAAAACATGAATACATACTGTCTGTCCATGCTGGCAATTTCCTGATTGTCCTCCTTCACCTGGGAAATACAACAGCAACCTTAATCATTTGTTAAATATCACATCCTCTTCAAATCATCTAGATTTTGAAGAAAACTTCTCTAAGATTGTTAATCAAAAGAAATACTCACCATTACTTATTAACACAACAAAGAAACACATTTGACTCATTGTTGCCACTTTCAATAATGAAGCTTATACTGGGACACTACGGCTCTGTTGTTGCTTGTTGTCTTTATCAGGTTTATGGTTAAGGCTGTAATTGAGGCTGCTTGTGAAGCTGACCTGTTTTAATAACTTCTCTCGTTCCTCCTGCGGGGAGCCCAGGCTCTTGTGCTCGGCCTCCATGGAGTCACGCTTCGCCTCCAGCACTGACAGAGTCTCGTGCAGCCGAACCACTTCCTGCTTTATGTGCGAGTGGGACAGCTCCTGCACACAGAGGAACGGCAGATTCATATTATTTTGTTTATTAAAATTATTTTCAAAATTATAAAAAGGAGAAATGCAAATAAACAGACAGTCAGAAAAAAAAAACTCCAAAAGAAATTGTCAAACACTATTTTGGTTGACATAACTTTAAAGGAAACAACTTTTAACTGAAACTACTTCTACTACTTCCAATACTACTGATACTACTTCTACTCATCTGAAAACATTTTGGATTGCTCTAAGTATGATCTTGGTGATATTGATATTGGTTGATGTTTTTACAGGCTTACAACTGCTACAGATGATGGATTTTCTTTGTTCCTTTTTCAGAGCTCATGAGTTATTAAATCAGGACCTAAAGACAAATTCAACCAAAATCTTAATCCAGTTAATCCAGCCTTCTTTTTTCTCTTGTTTTTCTATTTATGCACATGAACCATCCATACCACTTTTTTATCCTGGCTATGTATTGTGGGCTCATGTTTTTTGTATGGGTGGGATATGTATGTATATATGTGTTGTGTTGTGTGTTTGTATGTATGCTGGCTGCTGGAACACCTACATTTCCCTGCTGGGATGAATAAAGTATATCTTATCTTATCTTATCTTATAAGCATAAGATAAGATAAGATAAGATTTATGTACTATTGGGAACTACTTGACATCTTTTAGGCCAGTTTGACCTTTATTGGATAGGACAGCTGAAGAGAGACAAGGGAAATGCTGGCAGGAGAGAGTGGGGGATGACATGCAAAAAAGGGCCGAGGTAGGATTCAAACCCACGGCCGCTGCAGCGAGGACTATAGCCATTGTACAAGGGGCGCTCAACAAATCAGCTCAGGCTATCTGGTGCCCCAGAAATGACTGTGAGTAATGGCAATAATGTAAACCTTTCCAAGAACACTCACTGCTTCGTAGTCCTCCTTCCTGGTTATCAGAATGTCCAGCTCCTCCTGAAGAACAGTGAGCTCCTGCAAAACAAAACCAAACAAGGAGGCAAATAAACATTCATGGAGCAAAGTCATCATTAAGTAGTTAACTGCAGAATGAGGGAGAATTAACTAATTATTATTGTGGTGCCATGGAACAATTTAAATGAAGTTATAACAGCCTGAATCTGTGATCATCCTACATGCTTATACATTTCCATAAATCAAACTACTAATGAATTGTTCACTGAGAGTTGTCCTCATCGCCCCACAATTCAAAAGCACAAGAGCTTCTAGTACAATGGTTCCCAATATATTTTTCCTTCCTTGGAGCCCCCCCCCCCCTTCTTGTATTTAAGAAAAGCTGACCCACACCCCCTGAGATCTATGGTCCAGTATTTTAGGTAAAAGAGCAAATAGTGTATAATGTGGAGCTAAACTACATTAATACCTGTAGCAGCTCCTCATTGGCTGTTGTCATGGAGATGTACTTTTCTTGCTTTGCAGCTGGCATTGCCTGGACAACCTCGTCTGCGACCCTCCTCTCCTTCCTGATCTCCTCCTCAATCATTCTGATGGCTTCCTCTCTCCTGCACAGAAAAACACAACAGGATGGAAATGTTTGTATTTCATTTTTTGTATTTGGTTTGCTTAAGTACCAGTAAGTAGAAGTAGAAGCATAGGGCAGGAGACATGTGACATAATGCCATCATGAAGCTGCGACATATAAGGACGCAGAGAAGGAAAGGTGAGCTAGATGTCAGGTGGTTTGGGCAAATGTACAGGAAATCTTAACCCCTTACCTGTCTTACTTCCTTTCCATGAATTCCATTTCTTATCCCCTTCTTTCAAAGTGTTTCAGCCTCTTTACTTTTCCCCTTTTCTCACTTATTTTATATTCTCCATTTCGACCCCCTCCCCCCATTACATCCTTCAGTCTTTCCTCCCCCACTTCTTGGCCTTATATACTCTGATTCTTCAGACTGTGATTACTTACTCTCTAAAACCAGATTATGTAACAGGAAAATAACCCGTCCTTAATCCCATTCATTCATGTGTTGCAATACTTCAATTCTTCTAATAAGAGGTGTTTTCAACAAAAGGCCTGAGGTAGTAATAAAGTACGTAGGTTTCACTTCATCTGCCATAAATGTTTAGCTGACTGTAACAGTATGTGCCAGGTTTTACGACATGGAACAAAGGTCAGGGTGAGCAGACTGAATCACACTGACAGGTGACCTACAGTTCAGCTGAGTGGCGGCAGAAGTACAGGTAAGTGTCTTTGGATATTATTAAGATATATCAACAGAATAAGATGTGTGAGATCATAACAGTGTAGAAACTGGAAGATGTTCTCTATGCAGGTATAAAGGTTATTAGGCAGACCTACATGTATTCATAAAAGTTACATGTATGCTTGTTCTATGTTTAATGATAGTTTGGATTAGTTTAGTGAATTTCTTTCATCTGTATTTGTTGATTATAAGAAGAAAATCTCCAGTGTAGGTGTGTTGGTGGAGATGTTGGCGTGACCTCTCTTTAAAAAAACACAAAAAGAACAACCTGATGTTCTGTGAAACGAGCCTTTTCTGTTTATAAAGTTGTATTTTTATTATCAGGTTGTTGTCAGTGTTACAAAACAACAGAGAAAGGAATTGAAAGACTCGGAAGTGATGTCATTTTCACATGAAGTGTATTACAAACCTTATCATCTAATCCATTTCCATTTACAGTTAGTGTTGAAAGTTAATGTAACAGTATCAAACATCAAGCATGTTATAGTAATATTAGGGAAACCGATAGACTCTATTGTCCTCTGAGGGAAATGTGCCACATAACGCTGCAACCATTAGACAATGAAATGATAAACACAAAGAAACACCCAGGAAGTTTACACTGACCGTTTCAAAAATGATGACGATGTTACATGGCCTCACTTATATTGCACCTTCCCTGTTTTATTGTACCGTTCTCTTCACAGACATTATATATTTTGCACCAAATAAACAAGATCAAATGAACTGAAGCTAATATACAATAGCAGCTCTAACAGCTTGTATTAGTTGTAATAGTGTGGTAGAGTATGGACTTGTGTGAATGACAGTTCTCTTGGTATTTAAGTGTTCAGCAGACTGATCAAGTCATGTGCATGTCAGTATTTGCAATATAAACTACTCACCAGTGACTTATGATATGAATATAAATCAAATCCTGCACACCCATTACGCACCCTGGACGTGCTTCAAAAGAGCACGTTCAGTCACAGGCCGATCACCCTGAGGTGCAGAACTGAATTTAACAACACAAATAGGTATTTTATCCAGTGATGAGGGTTATTCTAATCTGCTTCTACAAACAACTACATGATGTGAGAACAAGCCACCATTTGCCAATAAATGCACACTTGAATTCAAAAGCAGAAACAGTAGGAGTCCAACTTTATGGGTAGAACAAATAAAGTTCTCTTCACCACCAGAGAGAAAGAAAAGAAGAAGACTATCTCAACAGTGTTTGCAATAAGGAAAGCAGAAGACTATCTCACTGTTTGCACATGAAGAACGATATCTTGAACATCTGAACTAAACTGGTACAGAATGATTACCCAGAGTTCTTTGCTGTTTATTTTTAGGTGAGGATAATGGAAAGGTGCCGGCAAACTCCTCTACTACTGTTGCTGACTGCAGTAGCAGCTTTGAATATACATGCTGCAGTTATCAAGGAAGACAAACTGGTAAAAATGTATTCCATTTTCTGATTACTGAGCTAACAGTAAGTGAAAATGTATAGTTTTTTGCATGCATGCAGAACGGGCGCCAGGAAAGGTTTCCTCACTGAATGTTCCATTCATCCTAATGTTAATTCAGATTCTTTTCTATTGTAATGGCCGTCTATCTTTTCCACCATTACTCATCAGGTGAAGAAATTGACCAACAACCTTCTTCAAGTCATCCCTCGCAGCGGCAACAGTTCCACTGTTGATAAACTTTTGATTGAGGGGGGTCTAATTGCTCTAAATGAGACTGACAGATCGGCCCTGGCTAGTTATCCCGCACTGGAAGAGCTCCACCTGCTTGGTAACAGAGTGACCAGTATACCAGCAAAGTACTTCTCTGTGGTACCACACCTCAAAGTGCTGTCACTGTCTGGGAACAAGATCAGCAGGTAAAAAAAGAAAAGAAAGCAAATATGGACATCGATTGTAAAAATGTTGGCAGGGTGTTGAATCTTTGCTGCTGCTCAAGACTTTAAAAACATGAACACTTATGAACCATTTGTTTAGAGACTCCCAGTAGTACACTACACTAACACAGCTTTACATGTACAACTTATTCTAATTCTGCTACTGTGTGTTCCTGCAGCCTGGACGCTGATTGTTTTTCTGGTCTAGATGTCCTGACGGAGCTGGACCTGTCCAACAACCTGCTGACAAGTCTCCATTCACAGCTATTCAGAGGGCTCAATAATCTGCAGGTAAACATCTATTCTAATTTTTTTTTCTTTACAAATTCTTCCAAATTCATAAGGAAACTTTTTATTTAAAATAATATTAAAACATTAATATAATAAATTATTATTTGTAATTTTCTCATTTTTATTCTTAAATGTTATTCTTAATATTTAATATGTATGTACATACATAGTACACCAAGTTTCCAATGCCTTTATCAGCATGTAGTTACACATTTTATTCACTAGAGGGAATTCCAACTTTACAGATAGCGATGTTTTCTCCACAAATTATTTTCTTGGTGTTGTCGAACGTAGAGTTCAAACTCTGTCAGTGGTGGTTGTACGGCTCGGAAACCTTTGCTCAAGTTTGCATACAGAATCTTTAAACATCCCTGTGAGATGTTAACGAGTAAATTAGGCCGAGGGGAGAAGGGTGCGATTCAGGAACGGTAGTAAATACATTGACAAAAATAAAAACACTCTCTCACTGATTTCATCTTAAGAATATTAACATGTTTTTTACTTTTCTAATTATATTCAAATCCAAAAGACATCCAACAGCCCTACTGCATATTTTACAAAACAAGTTAAGTCACCTTGGTTGGCTAAGACAATCAATGGGAATGAAAGGAAAATGTAGTTTTTGCCTTTATCATCGCACCAGGTTTGTTGGAGTTATCTTGTTTTATAATTAATCTGGCAGTCTCTATTCTTAAACTAGCTGTTGTAAGATATCATCAACCTATTAACCTGACATGTTGTTGTCCTACCAGGTGTTGAGCCTACAGGGAAACCCCTGGAACTGCTCCTGCCCGCTTCTGAGCACCATTCAAGAGGTCAAAACAGCTGGAGTTTCTATTGGTGATCAATTGATTTTTCTTTTACTCGCTACAAATAACTGCACTCAGATAGACATTGTGACTTATACAAACAAGTTACCAGGGTGCTTATTCAGACATGAAAATACAACTGCTGTTAGGTTTACTGAAGGGAACGTCAGAACGAATGCTAAACACATTTCTTGAATGTGATGTCAGGGTACAATGGGGGAGCACAAGTCCTCTGTGCTGCTCCAGGAAAGCAGCTGGAATGGATTTATTAGAGGCTATAGCTGCGTGTTATCCATCACCAACAACCACCTTCACCACTGACCCTCAAAAACCACCTACACCGGCCAGTCTGAAGAAGTCTTGGGGCTCATCCACTATGCTGAAGAACACATCAGACCAGAAAAACATCAACAAAGGTACGGCATAGGAAGGTGCCTGTATTCAACCTTCTGTTCCATTTTGTAGAAGTGTAAACAGAACATTAACTTGTCTCTCCTCCCTCTCTTTACACAAAACCAAAAACTAGGACCAACGCCTGTGTCTGGCAATACATGGAAGTTCGCAGCGTGTGTTGCAACTCTGGCGCTATGTACATGCATGCTCATCATATGTGCCATAAAGGGGCCATCCTGGTACAAGCTCTTCCATAACTACCGTCATCAGCGGCTGCACTGCACCGAGGAGGAGGGGGGCAATGTGTCAACAGTTTTCTCAAAGACGGGGAGATACCTCAACCAACAGACGTTCACCTTCGAGCGAGAGAACAGGCAGATGGAGTTGCAAGAGGAGGAGGACGGGTATTTTGAGGATCCATACATCAAAGGGGGAGAGTGACATTAAAGGGGATGATACTCAAGCAGACAAATTTAGAAACAAAATAGCTGCCGGTGAACGAGGGACAAGATAAGGAGGAAATCACCACGGTAAAGAAATCTATGATTTGTCCTCAGTGGTGAGCGGTGTGGGGCTAAAAGATGATTTCCCCTTGATAAATGTCTTATCATATTTATTTTCAAAGCACTGTTTAGGTTTTATCATGCTTGGGGTAACTTCTAATTTGTCCTTGCTCTGTTGTTCTTACTGCAAGATTGTTCTAATGTAGGATATCATGAAACTGTTTTTGTATTATTCTACATCACTCTGTGACAGAGACTGGAACATTTGAGGTGTTTCTCAACTAAACAGGACTCCTCTCTCGCTGACTAATAAAGCCTAACATGTGTGGTTCGATCGTACTTTGACATAAACTGCACACATGTCGGTACTTAGTGCAAAGATCCCATTTTACTGAGGCGCACTCGAAGTAAACAAGCCGGTAGACACCTGTACTTATCATTTACTTTAGATAGTACACACCCATTGTTAAACAATGCATACAATCCTGCATGTAGACATAAAACCTCGGACAAAAGCATGGACAGAGACAAAGATTAAGAATATAAAATAGTTTGTGAAGAATTAAGTGACTTTAAAGTTTAAACACTGTATGGCATGTAATGTTTTACCACAATTCTATTTGTGAAGTTTCTCCACTATTACATTTGTCCTGGTCAACTGTAAGTGAAGTGTTGTGAAGAAACTAAGAAAAAAAATGCGCGTCTACCAATCAGCTGCTCCTGGATGTGCCCAACACAAGGCTCAAAACCAGGAGAGAACCAGCTGCAAGTAAGATCTGCTCCCACTCTCGACTGTTTGAAATTGGTCCCACCTCTTCTCTCTGGCTTTCTTTTAAGATGAGAATGTTTTATCCTAACAGATTTGCCTATTATTTCTAATATTATTCTATGATGTATGCTGTATTCTTGTTTAATGTTTCACCTTTTTTACTCTGTAAAGCACTTTGGTCAACATAGGTTGTTTTAAATGCGCTGAAAAATAAAGTTGATCTGACTTGACATAAAGTGGTCGAACACAATTCTCCTGACCTCACAAACTTGTCATAAATCTGTTACTTCAGACTCTCTAACTAACAGGAACAAACATCAGCACTCCAACACTTGGTCCAAATCAGCACACTGTTACAAGACTCTGCAGTAATGATACCCAATTCAATAACTGGAAATCTGATGGATAAGATGGCATTGGCAGATAATAATGGTCTGGCAATGTTTTCCAGGCAAGCCCTCCTTTTTTCTAATGCCACAGAAAACAGAGACATATCAGTCATTTGATGCTTCAAACCTTGTTGCAATCGACCAATATGTTGCAGAGAAAGTCAAACAAAGCCCTGACCTTATCCCCCAATAGACACATTTGCCATGAAATAGAACACTGTTATGCAAACATAACATGTTTTTTCTCATTACAGTTTTCAATTAGGAATTACTCACTCAACTGTTAGGACAGGATTTACCTATATACAATCATGCGCCCTTAATCGCAAGAAAACAAAAGTTCTTCCACATTGTACTCACTCTCTCCTCTCAGTGAAGATGCTATCAATGCTTTCATCCTCGTTGTCATTCTGGGCTTTCACCTGATACGAAGGGAAGGAAGGAAAATTAGAGGAATGAAAGATCATTCTCTTTTTATTTGTTATAATAAGCAGACTACTTTTACATTTTGTTTACTCAAAACCAGCCTGATGGCTCAAACCTTGAAACTTATGTCCTTTAAGACATCAGGCAGGAGGTGTCACTAAAGTTACCGTGTCGCTTACATGAAGTACTTACAATGTTATAGTCATGGATCATTTCCTCCATCTCTGTGTTGGTGTTAAGCTTGTCCACCAGCTGCAAATAAAAAATAGAGAACATAAACGAACATGTATTACAAAAGCAAAGCTACACAGTAGGACTGATCATCCGTCACAGGCACAGCTCATTGTAAACAATACTTGAATACACCAGGCTCTGAACCTTACGTTCCCTTCACTGCTTATGTTAAAATAAAGTATAATGTAAATCATGTTTTTGTTTTAACCGCTGAGTATACTAACGTAACTTCAAGGAAACATCTGCAATCCTGTGTGTCCTATTTGTTAAGCTTATTTATTTGTGTTTCTTATCTCAGGTTTAAGCGGAAAAGTCTGAGAATTCTCTTTAGATGGCTACTAAGGGAAAATAATCAAAGAAAAAAAAGGCTAAAACTTGTAGCTCATAGCTGTTTACCATGTTGTAGTCCGCAAGATGGCCTTGTAAATCCTTAATCTCGTTAGCCAGGCCTTCTGCTCTAATGAGGAAAAAGATAAACACAGATCAGGTGAATCTTTTGCTCTATCATGATCCTTTACCATTCATGACTCAACTATGTCCTTGTATTCATATGTTTACTACTTTTCTGCCAACAGACTGGTTTTCGACTTCTTTCTTACATTTCCTGATTCGAAGACAGACATTAGTTTTCACTTGCTCTGATAAATGAATGATCATGGCATGTATGTGCATTGGCTGAGCCTGCAGTTTCATTATATACAGTGTCTACTTTAACTATGGAAACCTCTACTTACCTCTTCTCATAGGAGAGATAAACTGAGTTCTCCTGGTTGTAGTTGTCGATCTCTTTGTGTAACTTGCTGGTCTCTGTAGTTAACTCGTTGATCTTACTCCTGATGGTATATTTACAAAAACAGTCACTTTTAAATAGTCAAATTAATCAGGAGGGAGTTCAACAAATGTTTGGCCTGCTGGGAATATCTTCTGTATAGTGTTAAGCAATATCAACAAGGGTTTAATGTGTTTTATAGAGCAAGTGAGTTGATGGCATATAGTAGCGTGTGTTACCTGAGAAGGCCCAAGTAGTAGGACTTATCCAGAATCTGTCTCTGTGGACCTATGGAGGAACATAAGGAGGTGGAGGAGACAGAAAGAGAGTGGGGTTAGACTTTTAATAACAGAGTGTCCGAACATCAAACCATAAAATAGAAATCTCTCTTAAAAGAGAAGGTTGCCTCCGAAAACGTACCTTTCATGCCAGTCTTCATCCCACTGAGCCCCTGCTGGGTCACAGGCCTGTCAGTTACTTTGATTTGTGCCGACAGGATCCCAGGAGTGGCGATGGGGATGCCACCCCTCATACCAGGATGACCACTAGTACCTGGAACCATCTGAAAAGACAATTAAAGAGTAAAGTTAGTAAAATCAGTTTTACACAATAAAAGATGATTATTTGAATTTAGACCAACTTTCTGAGATACTTTATTTGATTCAAACAGTGTTCTTATATGTGTTGTTGAATATGCCCGATTACAGTATAGACACGCTCATCAAAGCAGGGACAATCACAGATGTGTTTTTTGCGCTTTACTTTGCTCTTCAAGTTGACACGTTGCAATGGCATACGCAGCATATCCAACATGCTCACATGGACGGCTCACATGCATCTCATAGCCTAAATGAATCCACGCTGGAGCTTACCCCAGTTGCGACACGTATCGCTGTAGGAGGAGGTCGGATGGCAGTTGGGGGCCTTCCAGCTCCAGTGACCATGGATCCACTGCGGCTTGCTGGGCGGCCCATGCCTGAGGGAGGCCGCTGGCTTGCCATGATGCCTAAAACTAGTGGAAATATTAAAATTAACAATATCATGGGGAAAAAATATATTAAAATTCCTAAAAACCAAGGGGTGCTTCTGTAGCTCAGTGCTTGATAGTTAAGTTTGCATGATTGGTGACAGCATCAAGAATGACAGTGAATTTACCGTACAACTGTACACTTGATGGTTTAGACCAGGGACGGGCAACTTTGGTCACAGCAAGGGGCCACATTCATTTAATTCTCACAGCCAGGGGGCCAAATTGTAGGATACAAAAACGATAACAGTCAATTATGTCTCAAATTAACTCAACATATACACCAGTGATCAAATATTATTATGGACATATTTCTGGATTTCATGATTTCATGGCAGATTTTGTCATGTTTTGATATATAAAAATTGACCTGAGGGCCACATTGAGGGTTGACGAGGGCCTCATGTGGCCCCCCGGGCCGCCAGTTGCCCGCCCCTTGCCTTAAGGACTCATTCTTTCAAGCCCCAGCAATACATTATTTTCAGTCCATCCATGATAGCGTTTACCTGGCTAGACACAACTGACTCAGCACAGTGAGCCTACATGTGGACACAAAACTGTCTCAGTAACTGATTCATGTAGAATTATCATTGATTGATTGAGCCTGGTTTATTAACCAATATGTATAATAATAATAATAATCATAATAATAACAATAATCATGTTTTAAAACACATCCCTTCTGCCACGTCTCAGAACTTACAAAGCCCATACAGAGGGAACACCATTGCAGGGGAACACGATGTGGTTAAAAAACTATTTGTGATTTGTTCTTTGGGCTTTTATGATAAAGAAACAAGCTCGATGTAAATGTTATTTCATTTAAGTGTTTGTCAACATTACAAAATGTTAGTCAATGGTGCACAGACTATATTTACCGCGTATTACGTGTCAAAACACTGTGAAAGTAAACTCTAGCTAAACACTTCACATTAGACATTCAGTCTACCGCTGTTCAGATTACTATGCTACCCGTTAGCTCGTTGCTACGGACCAACATGGATAAGCTTGTACCTTCAACTGAACTCGTTGTTTGTCGTTTTCTTCGACAGACTACGCATCGAAAATGTCCAGCTTTCGTCACTGTTCAACTCATTCGTTTCCCAAAGAGACAGTTTTCAACAGAGCATCTAGAGAAACTCAGAAAGTCAGCCAAGTCGAGAGACGATGTTGACGTTACCCCAGTAACCGTCTTCCTCGTCTGATTTTAGGTAGCATGTTAGTTGAAAGGTGAGTTGTTGCTCTGCTGCCTCCCCCCCTGTCGTCCAACCGCGGAAATACAGCCACATCTCATTTATTAACCAGCGAGGAACGCAGGCGTTAGGGGGTTTCTCTCCCTCTTTTTCAAGTTGATTTGAAAAAGTAATTGTTCTACCCATGATCAAAAAAGGTTAAAGAAGGATCCGTGAAGGCATGTTCTGTTACATAGGCAGCAGGAAAGGACCGTAACCTTTCTATACCTCAAGACTCCACTAGAGGTCAGCATTTGACTCTGTTTCGGTCTGAGCAGAGTATTTGTCAATGTTAAAATCTGACTTTGGTTTATAAATGTACAATGTTTCCATGAAAAGAAAATAATCGAAATATATTAAGTACGAAATGGTAAGTTAAGAAATGTATAAGTGACACAATTAAGTGTAAAACGTTATTTTATAAGCAGCTATTTTGAGCTGTGGTTCCCAAAGTGGGGGTCGCGGCCCACCTGGGGGGGGGGGGGGGGGGTCGTGGAACACTGTTAAGGGGGTCGCGAGATTCCTTTCAAAAACATATAAAAATGGTTTAAAATTGGATATTTCACCCATTAATTTGAAAATAAAGTAGGTAAAAAAAAAGTAGTTTCTTACAATAAATTACAAAAATAATATGGTGTTTGGGCTATTGTTTGCTGTTTTAATGCCAGTGTTTTGACCTAGTGCGTCAAATGTGGGGTCCCAAGTATCTATCACCCTCATAATGGGGGTCGCAAGCTGAAAAGTTTGGGAACCCCTGATTTAGAGGACATTCTGCAAGAAATAAGCAACATTAGCAACGATTTTTAAAGTATAAAAACATATAGGCTAAGGACTTTGAAATATATTAGGAAGGTGTCAAAGTGCAACACACAATGTTATGATAAAGTACAGTGTCCTGATTGTAATCATTTGTATGCTTACTGCTACAAAGCATGATCCCTTTTCATTCAGCTGCAGTATCACAACAGTTCAAATGGGGAAAGTATTTCTAACACAGGGATAAACAGCCAAAACAAATGGTACACTCACACAGGTGTTTGAATCCAGTGGCTGATTCGACCTTCTCGAAGGGAAACTGTGCTTTGCAAAAGAACAACGCTGACACCAATGAGAGTTTTAGTCCATTTTATTTCATGTTCAACAATCACATCACTAATTAACAAGTAATCACAATGAACACTTTTTTTTCAAACCATAAAATAAAACTCAAATTAATGAAAAAAATAATAATAAAATAAAACCACAAAAACAATAAGGAGGTTCTGCAAATGACAAAGTAAGTCTACCAAACACATCCCATTGTTGTTTTTTGAGCATGCTCTGCAGGTACAGTAGGTGTTTGTTAGCTAGTGTTACACTTGCATGTCTGGTATGAGTGCACTGGCAGAAAATGAAGCTCTATGATGCTCCTTGGATAGATTACTGAGGAGCTTTTCTTTATAACACAAGCCAAACCTGACAGCTATTTGTTCTTTTTAACAGACAAGGATGTGTTTGTGTCTCGCTGTGTGTGACTCTTCAGGGCAGACTGCTGCATTTTGAGGGTAACGTAGCAGTCAATATGTTCTTATTTGTAGTTCTACCAAATTACAGGCCTATATATGGACTATTACACTTAGTGCCAGCTTGAACTGTGCTCACTGTGGTATACAGAGACATGTCTTTCTGCTGCATAAACTTCAGTCCCAGCCAGCGTCGTTCTGTTATCTTATAAACCTACAGAGGTCATTGTGTCCTAAATGAGAAGTTTACTGGCTTGTCAGAACATGATTCTCGTCTCTTAAGACTGGGCTTGATTAAATGGTCTTTTTGTGCATAACTGTACACAACTTAAATTTAGTCAAAATCTCTTCAATTAAATCTACGTTGTCAGTTTCTAAATCAAGCTGCTGTTACATCACTTTAAGTACAGCCTAATTCATGAGATTTTTAAAGACTTTTTCGTCGTGCACATCCTTTAGAGAAACTGCTGCCACAAATCTAAAAGTATCATCCCTTCAACCATGAGAGCACAACCACCACAAGGCTACAGGGACACAACGATAAATACATATACAAAAGTGTTGCGTCTTTAGTACAATATATCTCAAAAGACATTCTTTCACTTCAGTGGCCCCTTTCCAATGAAAAAGGCAGACTTTTTCAACGTGTCATACGAATAATCAGGATAATAGTCATAATAGTCATGGTTAAAACACTCCTCCCCGTAGAACCAGAAAAGGTACTCGGACATGTTTAGACATAGCCCACCAATCCCCACCTGATTCTAATAATGCTGATGCTTTGTTCTTTAATTTGAGGGCAATACCGAATACGTCAACAATAAAATATCTATATACATCCATGTGCAATCTCATAAGTAATCCAAGTAAAAACTCTCGGGGCAAAAGCAAAACCATAACCATGGTTTTGGGCAGGCACGAGGACTACTTTAGCTGGGCGACAGCTGTGGCATAAAACAAAGCAAACGCAATGATCACGGCTGCTCTTCAAACACTCGACCCTCACCTGGCAGAAAAAAATACTTCAACACCTGCATGTGACACATTTCCACTTTCTGACGACATTAATTAGGAGTTAATGCTGGTTTTTGTTTTTTTTTCCGTCATAAAAAGATTTATTTTTCCTAGTTTGAATTCAAGGTTTTTAATATAAAACGGAATAATGACGAATGACCAATCAAACTACACTTCATGATTGAATAGTAGGGGGAGAAATAAGAGTCCATAGTTCATGTCATCACGCATAAGCTTGTTCATAATTAAGTCATTTTTGGCATCACTTGTTGAAAAAAAAGGGGGTATTTAGTTTGCTAATTATATACCACCAGTCCTCACAGTGAGCCCTCTTTGAATTGAAGCATTAAGGTGCAATTTAGTTCCATTTGTTTCCTTCAAGGCTTCTTCTTCTCCTTTTTCTTTTTTCATTGTTAAAGTGACAATTTGAATATAAAGAAAATCTGCTTTCGTTGTTTGCTTGATTTGTCTGTTTTGCGGCTGCCAATGGAGCTCTGGTTTTTAATCTGTTTTTAAAAAAAAAAAGAGACGATAGTGTTTAATATCTGATAAAGGCATTTTCAATAATCTCGCTTGTTTTTCATTGATTTTTTTGTTTTTTTGTTTTGAATATACGCTAAAACAAAAGATTTGCGTCAAAGAAACTGTATCCAAACCCCAAAAACTGCGAGTCGTTTCACTCTGTTTTACTACATGTGATGTAACTAGCATTAAGTGTTCAACTTTGAAGAAGTCGGCATCAATAGGTTGGAAAGATTCATGATTTCATAATACTTCTAAGAAAGAACTAGCTGCTAGCTGGTGAATACAGAATGGCTATAAAGCCAGATATTAAAAAGGAGCATTTTTACTAAGCAAGTATAATCTTTGCAGCTGATATAATGCTTGATTGAAATACGTAAATAATATGAACTTGTGTAAGTAATACCCTCGCATGAGAAACCCATCTCAACAGGTGTTATCGGACTGCAGGAACTTTTTCGTAGTCCTGGGAACTGTTGGAACCCTCCCCCCCACCGCACCGCAGGAATGATGAACTATTTTAGTTCCTGGATCCCCGTTTCGAGGAACCTGTTTAGCTCCTGCTTCAGAGTAGGTACCATGGAGGTGCGAATGCAGACAGAAAAAAAAAAGTCCCCATGGTGTGTAGTTCTCAGGGAACTCCCTAATGGACAGCTCCTCTTCAAAAAGTCCCCGGAACTGTTTGGTCCAAAAACACCTATTGAGTTTGAATCACTGTTTTTCAATTATCTCCGTTTACTAGTTTGGTCAGTGGAATTACATCATCGATGGAAGACGTAAAAATGACGATATCAGCGCTAAAAAAAGGGTCTTCTGAGTGACAACACATCACCTGTGTAGCACTGCCCAGAGAGATACATGCGGTAACAACAAAAATGCAACAAGGGTTTTCACCCTCAGGGCTTTATATTGTCATAATAATCTGGCCATGCATTATAAAGGCAATAGTTGAATACATTGCTACAAGAGATTATGATACAACCACATCATGTTCCACTGCTTTTACTCCCAACAACATGGAAGAGATGTTCAGTATTCAGCTGAAGCTTTTATCATCACCCGGCAATCAAACACTGCAGCATAACCCCTCATAGAAACACCTGAAATGGGGACAACAGCCATGACTACACTAAACTACCAAGGTGTACAGGGTTCTCTTAAATAGCAACACCAGGTTGTGCCTAGCGGTTTAATGTGCGTTTTTTGAATTATGACATTTTTGTGTTTCTCTGAGCAGTTTTAGGCGTGAGCCTGCGGCATCTTTGTTTGTAGTTTTCAGGTAAAAAGGACAGGAGGCACGAATGAAACACACAGCGCCTTTGACTCCAGAGACATTTACGCTGCTTCCTCATCTCCTTCTGGACTGCACGCTCTGGTTAAGCTTTTCAACCTCAGCACATCTCCTCTGTATTGCATTTTTTCGAAAAACATTCAGGTTCCAACATAATCCTTTTTGTTCTTTTGCCCTACTTTTAAAAACACAGCAACAATTCCTTCCTCACTTCCCTCTATCCTCCTTCTGAGCTGTGTGTACTGCTTTACAAAAACCTGTGCGTGTTTCCAAGATTCTCTGAGTGTTAACGAAAAAGAAAAAGACTGCCACTGTATTGCTTACACAGAAAGAAAAAAGTACATTAAATAAAGAAAACCTGTTTTTTTTAAATCAAGAAACTTGGAGGAAAGGAAGAAGAAAACAGAAATAAGATCAAAACAGAACACCGAAAGCTCATTTCAACGTTATTTTGTCACTCAAACACGTCATCACAAACACAGAGAGTAAAGAGTTTAACAGCCTACTTGTTGTCTAGCTTTTTTTTTTTTGTTTGTCAGCTTGTTTATGATGATAAGTGATAGTGATAGAGAGAGGATGCGACGAAGCAGATGAGATTGAATTACTATGACGTTATTGAAGCAGAGTGTAAGTGGTTATTGGGAACAAACAGCCCATGAAGTCACAAGGAAAAAGAGAAGCTACGTGTTAAGGTGAGTCCGAGAGGGTTTTCCACAACGCTCAGTTGACGAATGAAGTGCTGTTATTTGATGTGTGGAAGGTGAGATGATGCGGAGTCCACCACCACACTGTTGCTAAATGATTTCAGGGTCTGTCAGCTTGGAGAAGATGCAACCAGAAATGTTACAAAACTTTACCGTCCCCTAATTCCCCTCCACAAAGATCCCACCAAGGCCCAAGCTTAGTCTATACAGTCACTTCAGCCATATGAAGGAGGGCGGGTTAGCAAGGAGGATGGCGGTGGTGCACAATGAAGAGCTCATAATATGATACTAGAGAGGCAGAACTACTGGATGATTCCATAATTTGCAAAGACAGATTTGGGATTCAAGGGGGTTGTCAGAGCTTGATGGGGGCAAAAAGAAAAGAGGTCAAGATCCTTTTAAGGTGTGGCTGATGTCAACCCGGACCTCCTCCTGAAGCTGCTGCAAGGAAGAGGTGGAGGGGGAGCTGATGCAGCCTGCAGACGTCAACGATTCAATGAGGGAGACACTGCGAGGAGTCGGTTGGTGGTGGTGGTGGTGGTGGTGGTGGTTTTGGTGTAGAGAATAGAAGGATCCGTGTGGGTGGGGGCTGTCCTGGGGGGCCGGCCAGGTGACAATGTCGGCGCCATGGTCCGTGCGAGAGCGAGCATTCTCGCGGAAGTTGAGCTTGAGAGACTCAATCTGCAGCAGAAAGGTCAGAAAGAAAATAAAAAGGGGGCAGGGGAGAGGGGAGAGGGGAGGGAGAGGAAAAAAAATATATATATAGAAAGAGGATAATTGGGGAAGGGGGGAGGAGGTGTTGTTGAGGGGGGGTTGAAATGAGGAGGGCAGAGGGATAGCAGAATTAGATGCCTGCAAGATAAGAAGTCAAAAGATGATGGTGTGATCAGGTGCTTTGGACCGCAAACAACATGATAAATACAGTACAAGCTGATCAAATGACAAAGACAAGGAACAATTTGACCTCAGTTAAAAACACAAAAAAAACAGTTAGTACACATTCAGAAGTATGTAACATACACCTGGCTGTTTTGATTTCTCCCATGCGTCTCCTCGTTTTTTCTTTGTTACATTCAAACTAATCCTTGAGCTAACAGCAGTCGAGGCTCACACACACACACACACACACACACACACAATACTCACTTGACTCTGGGATGCCTGACTCCAGAGACTGGGTCTCCCGGAGGCCCTCACTATCACAGGGAGCCCCCTCCTTCAGCCCATTCTCATGGGCAGCGGCGCCCCCTGCCTGCCCTGGCTCGCAGCCAGGGGCCAAGGTGCCACTCAGGGGAGTCTCATTCCCCTCTGTTGTCTCCTGGGACCCCTCAGCCTAGAAACACATAGCAGGGCGTGTCAATCGGTGGGATGGAACAACCTGGCTCCAAATCTCTCTATCTACAGTATCATGTCTCCAGAGAAGACAGATCGTTGTTTTTTTTTTTTTTTTTTTACAAAAAAGTGTGTAAGAATTTGGTGATGCAGATTTTTTGTTTAAAAACATTGAAAAGATGTGGAGCCAGACTACAGTGGAAGGCGATGGGATTGCAAAAGAAATCACTGGCACAAATAGCATTCAGAGTGAACAGCTGCACAGCTGAATACAGAATACAGTGATAAAAAGCAAATTTCAATTCAAGCATATCACAACAAAAGCAGATGAAAAGTGTGTAGAAAGATTTTTTTTTTGTGCAAAAAAACTGCTGCATGACTTCGAATACACAGCTGTAAAAATGTGTCAATGCTACTGTAGTGTTCCACCTGAAGTAACTGAAAGTAAAATGACAAAGCTCTGGAGAGACCAGGTACAAAAAAAAACACAATAGCTGTTTTCACATGTACACTGCTGAAAATATCTAGATTATTTCAGGAGGACTGCTCAGGATATTCTCCTGACCTGGCTGTTCTCTGATGCTATTTGACTGATACATAAATGTAGTAATATCGGCACATATATGCAATAAAATTAGCCGACACCAATAGTCACTTCATATGCTAATACCGACCAATGTTATTGGCTGGCTGATTAATCGGTCATCCCCTTGTGGGGTAATCATAGTTCAATAAGTGTATCATTAGGTAAAAAATGGTAATGTCCCTTAGTGAGGATGACTTGTCAACCTTTTTGTTATGTTTTCCAGAAAAATAAATAAATAAATAAATGAAACAAAACAAAATAATCGTCTTGTTATTGTTGGTTCAAATACTGTAAACAAATCAGTGCAAGACATAAATATGAAGCAAAGCTCAACAACATTTTGAATGCAATCTTTTAAAGACCAAATCACAAGTCTCTTTGTAATTTCCACTTTCCTGAACCCATCTGAGCCAATCACTGCAAAGTGCTATTGGGGTCCTTCTCAAGGAAGAATCTTTTTTTTTTTTTAAAAGGGTCATTTTCAGTTTTTAAAAAAGGTCCAGTCATTCATAAAAACAGCTTGTCACCTTTTTAATGCTATGGTTTGTTTGTTGGATCCTTTTTTCAGCTGCAGATTAATCCACATTTAGCGCTCCAGTGAGTCTTTGGGGTCGCATGATGTTGTATTTTTTTTTTTTTTTCCAAATCAACTACATTCTTGTGTGTTTGTCTGAATGAAGGGACGTGTCACCCAGTGAAACACAGTGTTGACATTCAGAGATCTATGGCAGAGAGGGATGAGTTCTATCAGGGTCTGGATACCTTGGTGTTGGTTATTTTAAACCTTTCCTGTTTGGGGGGGATAGAGCATGAGAGAGCATGCTGGGAATTTAGCATACACAGTATCAGAATAAAAAAAATATTATCTGCATGGAATACCATCGAACAGTTAAAACTGAGGAGAGAAAAATAACTCTTCTTGGTATAAAAAGAATGTTTCAAAGCTCTGCAGAAATTCAAAAATAGACTTCAAAGCAAAAGGTCTGTCTCAGATGGGTTATTATTTTTATCAATGCTATTTTTAGCTGTCCTTATGATTATGTGTCTTCAATGTGCTGAAGGGTGTAGCCGACAACCGAGCGTGCAAAACAAACATTGTATGGAGATGAGAATGTCAGTGAATGATGGGATCATGCAGTGCTCACACAAACACAGATGGGCTGCCATAGGCTGAGGGGACAGGGGACATCATCTGGTCCAACATACTGGAATTATTTCCATTGGGATTCTGACCCCGTCCCTCACAATACCCCGAAAGCATTGTTGTGTATTTCAAATCCTGCATAAAACATGTCATATTTAAGAAATCTGTTTCTGTATGTGGTCTTTTGTAACATAACGTGTTGGACAGAGCCGAGGTTCTTTGGCGCGGCAGGGAAGCATTCGGTCGATACCTCTTCAGAAAGATGAAATGTCAGGGGAGAGGGAGCCGAGGGCAGGTGTGAGGGGTTTGAGATGCTTCAGATTGCTGCGGATGGTTTCAATGTATAAGCAATCACTATCATCAGTGATTGCAGCTTCAAGCCAAATATCTTTTTAAATTCCATTTTGAGCATTAAAAGTCTCAAGCTATTCTCTGCTCATGAACTAACAACTCTGTGACATTTTTGATTGTCAACAAGCAGACACCCAGGAAACAAAGGAAGTGAGTCAGTCGCCGTGTCCTTCAGACAACCTTCCCTTTACAGCCAGACTGACAAGGCTCGAGAGGTAAATTGATGCCATCATCATGAGCACACTCTAGGCTTGTATTCTATTCTTCTTTTTTTTTTTTTTCCATCAGGAAAGTCGATCATCCTTTTCCTTTTACAAAATGTTTGGTGCAGTAGAAAAAACATGTTCACTTATCAGCCTATTAAGTTGTGTATCTTTCAGTTTCCCGGGACAATCCTTGAGCTCTGAAGTCAAAAGCAGGGGTTCTTCACACTAAGCAGAGGTGGTATTTCAATAATATATAACAAATCATTGAAGGAAGTATCACATAATTACGCCCACAATCAGTCACATGACTTATTTTGAGAATTTCATACACAGTTTATATTCACATGATGGACTTGATGAAAGCATGAAAGAACACTTTCATCTCGACACATTGGGTCAAATGCCTTTAATGCATGTTATCATGAAGGTGAGTCTCAAGTGTGCTCATGTTTCTAGATGCAAGTAATGCACACTTGGGACACAATATGTGTTCACTGTGATTGGTTGGCTGACAGAAGTCTCCAAAGAAGTGAAACTGATTTTCATTTCCTTATCCGCTCCCACAAACTAAAAGAAATGGTTTGCTCGTGTGATAGTCTCACCTTGATGTTTCCTCCACCAGGTGAGTGGCTCAAATTGTCCATGGAGCCCACTTTGGACTGAGCCTTTTCCCTGAAGCTCATTTTGTGAGACTCGATCTTCACGACACCACCACCTGCAGCAAACAAAATCAACTTAGTCTTGATAACCATAGACATATTTAGGAGCAAGCACAAAAACAGACGCAGATTCCTCATGATCTTCTTAACCTTCAAGCATTTCTAAGTCAGCTCTAGAATCAAGCTGATCTTTCATTCTTTTTGTATAATTAGCTATTTTGGCTTTTGTCACCTGTCCTTATACTAATGTAGTTAATCCGACCCTCCGGCCAAATCTTACATGAATAATACTCAAAGGTAGTTCTAATAGAGACCATGTAACACATCCTTTCAGAAACATGCATTAAACCATGCTCACCAGGCTTGTGCTTGATGTTGTCCTTGGAGCCGCACTTTGACGTCACCTTACTCAGATCCACCTTCTTGTTGAGTATCTGCACCTGTCAAATGTCACACAGGCCTTTTTTAACAGGAGGGATTTAATCATGGGATGAGGGTGTTTTTTAAACGGACATTTCTTCTTCATCAGATGTCTTAATCCCAATGTACACCTTAAATTACCACAATGACGATGAGCTGAGCTCTTCCAAAGACTTGAAAACAACATCTAGTGTTGGCACATAATCCTATTTTGGCAATTTAGTGATACAGAAACAAACGAGACACATTCAGATTGCATACATTCATACTATTCAAACTCAAGATGACGTCATATTGAGTATGAATAGTAGGATCCTAAATCAAAGAATGCAATTTGTATGTATGTATGTCACATGTATGCCAGAAATACCTGGATGTATACTTGATAGGCAAGAATTTTTAAATCTGAAACAGGAGCATACTGATGATGAACCTCCCCACAATGCACTGTGGCTCGCAGACTGTTCAACCGCAGAGCTCGCCAGCCAGCCAAGTAGCAGCTTAAAATAAAAGTTCTATGCTCATTTTACATGTTGTCAAAAAATATTCAAATGACTATGTAGCTGTATCAGTAAACGTTTGCATTTTGCTGTTGAATTATATTTACGGACCGATGGCCTAGCTTGTTGCTAGCCCATCTAACGGAGCTCGGACTGATAGTACGTTGTGTGAGCGGTGTTTAAGTTGCTAACGGCATGCTGACGGTCAGGTTGGTATGCAGTATATATATTTGAGTATGTCGTAGGCAGTGTGAAGTATGTTGTTTCGGACACAGCCCCCCCAGGAAATTTCAACCCAGTCCCAACCTTCTGGGCTGTAATTGGCCAATACTACTGTGCTGTGATTGGCTAGAAAAGTCAACAGTTCATTGCAAAGTGACAGTTTGGTTAGGTTTAACTAAAATTCCTGTTTTTTTCCCCCCCAAACAGTCACAAAACACTGATGGTTTCAAATGACACAAACGTTTTGTTTACTCTTAGGTAAAAACCTTGCAGGCTTCCAAACAAGCGCAGGGCTGGGGTTCAGAGCTGTGCTGCTTTTATTACAAAGGGAAGTTTCTGAGCTCTAAGAAGTCAGATGCTTCAAGATGTTGTTGATTCCAGCTTGTAAAATAATTTGACAAACCCTTTAAAGATTGCGAGATCCCCCAGAGTCTGAATGCAAGGCACCAATAAAGGCCAAATGTATCTCAGCAAACAAGAAATCCCAGATTTACCTTTCTGGAGCTTTTACTGTCCTCAGGAAACCAGACAATCTCAACAGAGAAGGAGCAAATCACAGGCCAGTGCTGTTTATTTGCTCAATTTCATAATTTTTTTTAGTAAGTTAGTGACAGGGAAGGACAACACAGGTAGGATTTAAGGAAGCAAGGGGCTGTGAAGCAGGTTTTTGGGAAAGGGCTGGTACATTAGGCTTGCTTGCATGCTGTCCATTACTTCCGTTCTTCTTTCAGCCAATAGCAGCACTGTAACTTTACCCGAAGAGCTTACTGTATTTCTTTAAAGGCCGACTCTTTATATACTGTAAGACTTGCATGGACCATGGACCCTCTTTATCTGACTATTTCCCAATCGTAGCCTCTTCTTCAAGTCTGGTGCAAACTAGCTCTGACTATGGGCAGTACTTACTTTCCCTCCACCAGGAATATGCTTCAAATTATCCTTGGAGCCCAAGCGTGAGGTGATGTGGCTGAAGTCCACCTTTTTGGAGACTATATGAACCTATACGGACACAGCATAGCAGCAAGAGGGGAGGGGGGCATCAGAGGAGAGCAAGGGAGGGGAAATGTACAAGAGTAGAAGAGAGGAGAATAAAAAAGGAAAAGAGGAGAAGAGGATGTAAGGAAATAAGTAGAGGAGAAGTCACCATCACAGGTAGGGTTAGAAAGGAGAGGAACGAAAGGCTGGTGGGAGGTTCAATAGGAAACACTGAACAGGGTGGGGTAGTTAAGCTGTCTGAAATGATCAATTCAGTTGACTTTTCCATTTGAATATCGAAAGTGACAGACATCATAATGGAATGAATTTGAACCAAGGCTGGGGTAAAGGAAAGCAGAGGCTTCTGAACACCCCACATTTAACTGTGTTATAGAGCACACACATGCGTCACAACATATAAAGATATGTGCCAGTAGAATCCATGTGATGCACAGACTCATGTTATTAACACACACAGAAAGCTGACACTGTAGATTAATGACAGATTAGATTAACCTTACACATAAAAAAACTCGACACAGATAACATTTGTTGGGAAAGTTAAGAGGTTGAAGCTCAAATAAAAACAGTTCAAGTCTCTTCAGACACTCGACCACAACGTCACATTTCCGTCAGCGGTTGGCTGCAGCTCAGTGTCACAGTCTAAATGATAAATCTAATGTAACCCCCATCCGCAAAATCCCAGACCTTTAGAAAAACTTTGTTTCCAATTTGTAAGGGGTAGGTCTCTATAGTTTTTGTAACTGATTATAAATTTGTTGTTTTGTCGTTTTAATGTGCTTGGAATCTGGACAGCATTGGAAACAAGGGGAAACCTCAGTGTCCTTTCCAGAATAAGCAAAGGTTTGAAGTGAAATAAAAAAACAGGTGATCAACCAGCAGGAGTCACTAGTGTCAGCAGCAAAGATGTGACCTGCTGTGACGACAAAGAGTTAATAGTGAAGGCCTCTGAGTGCAGGATGAGTCCTCAGACATTTGAAACATTTGACAGGAAGAGAAAATATGGTTATTTTACTGTAAAAACACTCAGATAAGGCTTTATTGAAATATATTTGGCGGACAAATTAATATGGAACACATGAACGCTGGATTGAAATCTGGGAAATGTATTTTTCACTTCATGGGGACTTTTTTTCATTATGGTAGCGACTTAATGAATATTTAATGGCTGAGCTGCTGGTTGCTTCACAGGAGCTATTTTGGATTACATGATAATCAGTAGCTATGGCTTTCCTTGTCACAACTTAACTTATAAATGAAGTACAACCAGAAGAGGATGTAGTCTAATCATGACATGAGTTAGTGCTATTGGTTTCCTTTGAGGTTTTTTTCTCATTTCTTTGAAAGATCAAAGCAATGCACTCAGGAGTCCAAGTCAGCAGTGAAGAGAAACCACACCCTCGGTAAGGGTTAAGAACCGTCTTGGCTATTAAACCAGGAAGCTAATAGACCATGACAACAGGATAACCTTACTTGCAATATTAGAAAATAGAAAATATAACCATTCATGTACTTAACAGTAAATAAAAGTCAACGTGTTAAGACTTGGAAGGGAAAATTGTGTTTTTACAAACTGTAGGTGCTTTTATTACTGACAAGCCTGTGGCTCGCTCTTGAATCCAGCCTTGAGCTCGCAGTAATTCAGGTTATTAAAAATAAACCAAACAATGAGAGGTGGTGGGAAAAAAGAAAACAGCAAAATATGCATGAAGAGAAAAGTGCAGTGGAGGGTAGGAGTGTGTGGTGATGTAGAGGAGGATGAAGAGGGAGGAAACTCACTTTGGCCTGGCTCGTATCTTTGGAGGCGAGGGACCTGCTCTGAGAGGCAGATGACATCTGGGGAGACAAGCCCACCCCAGGTCAACAACAACAACAACAACACAATACAACACACAGGAAGAGGAGGCGATGCAGGAAGTGCAAAAGATCAGGGGGGAAAAAAGAAGGTTGGGTGCACAAACAGATGAGCGGAATAATTAGAGGAGATAGAAGGATGCCTTTTGTTCGTTGCAACTTGGGTCTCGTTAATGTAGCCGCATTGCAGAAATACACTGCAAAAACCCACTTAAGTTTTATTACAGGATCAACACAGCAGGCCACAAAATGCAGTCGTGTGAATGGAAGTTGCATCACTATGCCATATAATCTAAGAGGGTGTTGCGTCCCCTTTTTTGCAAAAAAAACAGGCAGGGCCAGTTTTAGGCTAAATCCGGATTAAACAAAGGCCACAACATTTCATTCTCTAAGTCTAGCTGTCTTCTTCAAGTTCTATTTGGAGTCTTAAAGTTCTGCAGAGACAGGACCTGGAGAATGTAATTTGAGCACATGAAAGCTTTATTCATCTTTACAGAGTCAAAAGCCATGAGTTCCTGCGGGAGAACTGGATTCGACTGATGAAAACCTTCAATTATAAACCCGAAGGTGTAGGCGTGTAGGGTAGCCCTTACATGCCTTCTTAAACTAAGAGGGGGGTCCTTAACTTTGACCTAAACTTCTGGTTCAGGTTATTTGGAAGTTGACTTTTTTAAGTTCCAATGTGTCAAAATGACCACAAACTATCCTTAGGACTAGGTTGGTCTCTGGTCGAACATGTAATAAGGCTGTTAGAAGTAGCACTGCACCTTAAACTGTAAGGTGAAGGGTACACACCAAATTCAGGGAGGACAGTACGTGATGGGGGGAGATTGCGGGTCCTTATGGGTAAGTAATGGGGAAGTCCCCTGATTGGACAGGATGTAAAGTAAGGTATTAGGAAGAGGATACCCAGGTAAATGGTGCATTTCTTACCCAAAGCTTCTGTTTAATAGATCGTGTACAGATAAATCTTAAATCAACTTTGACAAAATATATTTACATGACAGCGTGACTAGTGTGTTAACTGAATTACTGTTGTAACTAATAAAAAGAATAGTTAAAGGACCAAAATGCATGATATTCACTGAATTAATCATAAAGTGATCTTACTATATGATCAGACATTAAGGAAGCATGCTAATTTGCTGTCCTGGCTTCTCTGACAACAATGCAGCAGCCAGTATGTCCTCCTTCTAACTTTAGATTCTGCTCCTGAATGCTCTTGTATTCGTTTTGACCAGAGAAGGGAGGCGGTTTTAAGGCACCCCACACAGCTGTTGGACGCCCCTCGGTTTAGTTATCACAGCAAACCAACAGGTGCTGCAGCAAGGGAAGCTGGCAAGTGAACTGCTACAGTATAATATAAGCCTCTGCAGTTTAAACGTGGCAATACTAGGATAAATATTGGAGAAGCTGTCGAACAATGGAGAGAGGTTTTAACACTGACGCAGAGCTGTGTCCACGACATGTCAGCCTACATGCACGTCGACTCTAGGGAGGAGGGGGCGGGGGGGGTGAGACAGCTCTCTTCCGATGTTTTGTATATGGATCGCAGTACCCATTTTAATCACTAGGTGTCAGGGTTACATATCGCTCCTTTAAAACAATAAAAGGAAATAAGACCCAAGTTTAAATAAAACAAAACTATCCTTTAAAGAGCCCATTCTATGAAACATCATTCCTCTACTGTTTTCTCCTCAGTCGTGCTCTACAAAGGTTATGAAGGTTGATAGAAAAGATGGGTAAAATGGTTTGAAATGAAGATGCAGAGGATTACAGAAAAAGATGCTCTAGCCAAGCAAAGTCGAGCCAAAGAGAGTAAAGAGGGAGATGAAGAACATTTGGACTGCACTTTGGTGTTACTAGTGATGCGAGTGTTTTAGCAGCTTTGCACAGTATGCTGATTTAGATCGTAGACAAAGAGATAAGGCGTGCATCGACTGTGTTTATTACTGCAGAAGAGTTTAAGAAATAAGTGTGAAGAAACAGGTGAGGAGCCCACAGTGCCAGAAAACACATGCTATCAAAGCCAGAGGAGTAAGATTAAAACGCTACCTTCCCTCCTCCAGGCTGGTGCTTCATGTTGTCTGTAGAGCCGATCTTAGAGCGAACGTTACGGATGTCAGGAGCAGGTGCTGTGCTGGGTCGAGCGGTGGTCCTCGAGGTGGAGGTGGTGGTCGTGGTTGAAGAGGAAGTGACCCGGGTGGCGCGAGGCACCAGGGGCTTCTTCTCTGCTGCGCCAGTGGCGGAGGATGAAGTGGCCGCTTTGGCTGCTGTGGGTCGAGTGCGAGAGGCAGCGGTGGTGGAAGTGGAGCTGCGGGCGGTGCCGGTGTGGTGGAGGTCTTGGGTTTGGTGGAGTCTGTTGGAGGTAGAGTCATTCAGTGTTTATTGGTCTTTCATAGCATGCTGTCCTTTGTATTCACACTCTTTAGTAGTTAAAGTATTTTTTCTTGGCTGAACTAAAGACACAATACAGCATTTTAGGAAAAGTTCTTAATTGTTGTCATGCAGAGAGTCAGTGAAACAGATCATTAGGGTCCGTGCAAACAGGCGGATGAAAGGGAAACAGCTGATGTACCTGTCTTTAAATCTCAGTCATCTAATAGCAAATGTTGTATCTTAAAAGTTTAATAAGTGACTGCAAATGGTTGCTGTTTTTTTCCTTTTTAAATGATGTCATTCTCTTCTTCTGATTTGGGTGAATGCACTTCAGCATGCAGCATTGGTACCCATTTAAATCTGTTCTGTTCATTCACATATACAGTATATAGCTATATGTCAGCTTATTTCTGTGCTGAGGAATGCTGTACCATGTGTCCTGCAGTCAATCCTCCCTGAGAGCCTTTGATATATCTCCAGCTCATGTTAAGACGTGTTTAATTGAGGAAATCCTCCCGCCTGCCTCCGTGTTTCTAAAGAGTAATTTGACTTGCAGTATGAACTCTGAGCAGATCAGACCACCAGAGGCTGTATCAGCAGGAGCTGCAAACTCCTGTCAACAGCAAGAGGACTGTAATCCACAGAGTGCTGAAGTGAAAGGTTTTTAACTCCCCAGAGCCTTTCAGCAATAAAGCCTTGCTCTCCCCGCGAGCCTGCCCGCATTGTCATGGTCGGACTGTGTGTGTTGCAGTGTCACACTCCTGCTGACAGCTCTCCTGTTGCCATAATGTAAACTAATCTGTCGACAGGAGGAGTAAAGCCGTAGCTGTGCAGGAAGAGAGAGAGGGAAGGCAGGACTGAGGAGAAGATTATAAAAGGAGGAGCGAAGAAGAAAGAGGAGAGGAATACATGCAGGGAGCGAAGTACAGAGGGAGGGAGAGCCCTGCTGTGCTGTTCAGGCTGAAACAATGGCAACAGTTGGTCAAAATTTAGAGGAAGCATTTTGTTTTGAGATTATTTTATATTACATAAAACGGAATTTTGCAGGATTTTCCAATATTGTATGATATCCAAAACAAGCTCTCACAATTTCTATATTTAAAAGTAATCCGGATCCCACTACCTCACACATTCTCTCAAATAATTTAAAAATATAATCAATTTCTGTATTAGATTACTTATTGAGGGTATAATAATAACATATTAAAAGAAATTGTAAATGGACTTGGGCTTGTATAGCGTCTTCTAATCTTTTGACTACTAAGTAAAGCGGCCATTCAAACCTATGACGTATGGCTGCAGAAGCTGGGGATCGAACCCCCGACCTTCCGGTTATGAGACGACTCGTCCACTGATCCACAGCGGAGAATAATCGTATAGGAAAGTTGACTTTTCTTTTTTTCTCTAGTATGTATAACACTCAGTAAGATAAATAAATTACTTTTTTAGGAGCAGACAGCACACTTTTTTTTTTTTTTTTTAACTAAAAATAGGAATCTGATTTGCCACATGAGACACCTGTGAGAGGGCAGTGCAGATTAATGCAGCACAGCTTGATCCCCTGAACAGAGTCCAAATCTTGAACAAGCACACTGGGGTTCAAGAATTGTGGCACTGTCAGGAGTAGAAATACGTACATGTGTGAAAGTTGTCTTTGTATTTTTTTCATTAAATATCTCTTGTCTACCTTTACTGTTTGACTTCTGCAGACATGCAGAGGCTGAAACAGTTTTGTCTGAGTGTCTCCTGTGTGCACATGTACTATAAAGTCTTAAAAGAGGGCAGCCACACCTGTGGAAGTCTTCGGAGTGCCGGGCTTCTTCTCCTCTCCTGGTTTGCCGTCAGTCTTGGAAGCTGAAACACAAACACCTATGATGTTATTACAAAGGCAATAAAAGCTTCTATAGCAAAAGAGCGTTCAATAATTTGTAACATTTAAGTGAATGCGTTCGTTTAGTGAGGACTAATGCTGGTTATCAAAGATGTGTCTGGAGTATACATGATGCGTGTGCGAGCTTGTCTGCCCATACCCAGAGGCTTCCTGGCTGCGGTGGTAGTGGTGGTGCTGCGTGGAGCAGCAGTTGTGCGCACTGATGCAGCTGTTTTGCTTGCTGCTGTGGTAGCGGTTCCATTTTTGGTGGCGGCGGTGGAGCCTGTTGTTGCAGAGCTGGCCTTTGGCACAAGGGGGCGTTTCTCTGCTGTGGTCTGCGGAGAGGGAGATTGACAAAAACACGGGAAAAGTCAGGTGAGGAGAGAAGGACAAACAGATGAATGAGAGAAAACAGCGGCAGCTTCAGTAAATCTGCTGGCACAAAAGTAGGTCATGATGCAACTTGTGTATGTCTTGCGCTGCCATGGGTTCATGCGAATGTTCAGTGGCTTCACTGAGAAATTAAGGTCAATTTCTTTTTCACGCGTGTGTGTAACATCTAGTCCAAGGCGCTGCTTGATGATTGCAAATTTCATTCAGCAGCGTATTACCCCTGCATAACCCCTCAGATGATGCTACGCTGCACATAAAGCTGAGCCATCGTGCAACAAGCTGGCCTTGCTGAACTTAGTCAAACCTGCAGCCATGGGCGCTAAGAGGCTAAAAAAAAAAAAAAGAGGCTGTTTTAATTTATCTATTGTGGTGTCACACTGGTTGCAGCTAAGGAGGTCACAGAGGGAGGGAGTTTGAAAGCTGATTGGTCTTTTGAGAGAGGAAGAAGAAGAATTAATTGCTTATTGTTTAAAATGACAACTTCCAGTTTAAGAGATTTGTCCAATGTGGCACCACCTGCAGCCACAGTGAGATGACACTGATCCTTTGATACAGACTCTGTGTTGCTTGTAAAAGTTGACCAAGACTGTTTTTATATATTGCATTAGGTTAGATTCATAGTATTTGCAGCAATTGCTTTTTTGATGTTTTTTGCATTTATTGGAGGAAAATTTAGGCTTAGTGCAACAAGAGCTCCATTGCAGGAATTAAAAAAACAGGATTTTGCGATCAACCAGAATTTCTTCAGGAAATCCACTTTTTGTTTTGACCATGCTGAAAGAATATTGAACAGTAAATAAAATCATGAACTGGAAAGGTCAACACCAGTGTTGAAGCGTAAGTGTAAAACAAATACATTTTTAAATGTTAGAACTTTTAACCTAATATGGTTGTGGAAGTCATACAGTCATGTGACATGTTTGATTGATTGGTCAACTGCTAATTGCATTATCAAGTATGTTTAACCACTTCATAGATCGATTATATCCAATTAAGTTGACCATTTGGGTTCACACCTTTTTTTAAGTTTTCAAGGGGCAAGCTGTCAATCATATATATTTGGGCGGGTCTTCCTGTCCAAGCTAATCAATTCCTGCAAATATTAGATTATTTTGATTCACTATTTATTATTTTCTTTAGTCTCTTATTTTTTTTTAAAAGTGTATTCCATATTGGAGTACGGCGTTATCTCCACTGTTCAGTGATATCAGTTCTATCTTCTAAAACGGCAAACACAACTTCTATTGGGTGTTTTCTCCTTGAAGAAAATGTGAGGTTGGACAACATTTTTAGCTGTGCCCTCTGACCATGATTCACCATTGTTATAAAAATGAGTCAATGCATGCAAAAAGGTACAGTAGATTGTCAAATTCCTGGTCCAAGGGAGCAAACCGATTTTTGTGAGTCCCAAAATTATACCAACTGTATGATCAGGTGTATTTTTCTCTTCTGTTAAGAACCAGGAGGGGAAGTATCAACAAGCAATTTAAAGATCTCTAAAGCTCGTTAATGATGCTGCTAGTAAGCATCCGGCGTGACGAACAGCTGATTAAACCCCATGTGGAATCCACACGTTGGTAGCTCTATCAGCTAAAACTTACCTTGGGTTTAACATCACGTGTAGTGGAGGTGGTCGAGGATGCAGGGCGGCTGGTGGAGCTGGCGGAGGCTGTTGAGGGTCGCTTTGGACCAGCAGCTGCTGTGGATAGTGGCCTGCTTGTGGTTGCTTTTTTGTCTGAGATGGAGGTGGCGGTTGTGGAGGGTGTGGGGCGTTTTGTAGTGGCGGTGGCTGAACCGCCAGCAGCCGTGCTACTCGGCCGTGTTTTGGCTGCAGTGCTCGGTTTGGTCACCCCAGCAACAGGCTGTGATGTAGGACCAATTATGCAGGAGTGATGTAGGGCAAAATAAGGAGGGAGAGCAAGGGAAAGAAAAATGAGGAAAATAAATGATAAAGGCAGGGAGGTTAAGCAGCTCAAGCAGCATTTAACCAAAAATCATCAAATATAAATGAAGTAAAATAAAATTGCCATGATACTTGTTTTTCACAGCTTCTACCAGTTAGGACCTTAAATCACTTTTTTTGTTTTTTTTGTTTTGTCCCGCACATAAAGTCGCTGTAAAGAAAGCAGCAGCAGAAGCTTCAGCAGGATGCATGGTGCATGATCGACAGCTTCCTTTGCAATGGAAACTCCTTTGTTTTGTTTATTTTTCTTCTCCGGTACATTGTGATTATAATTAACACTTATATAGTCTTATTAATGTTAATGAACATCATGTACATAAGCTGCCTATATAAGTTAAGAATTCTCTAATAAGTTCCTATTTGTTTTAAAAGCCTATCACAAATGTGTTAATAGTTGTATAACTAACACTTATAAAGTTTTATTAACGTTAATAAGCATCGTATTAATGTTTATGACAGATTTATAAACTTTGAATAGGTTTCTAATGAGAGCCTATCAGTATATTGTAAGTGATAAGAAACATGTTAATTATGCTTTAATTAACACTTAATTAACACTAATTAGGACTTATTTGTGTTATTAAGGATCTTATAAGGTCTGATTAGTGACTTATTACCTATTAATTAATGCTTATTACAAGCACCTTAATATAAAGTGCTACCGACGCTAACATTAGCCGGCTTACACAACAATGCAGCTTGAGCTTAAGACAATTTTGTCCGCCGTTTGCTATTGACTCCATGGTTGGAACATGAGGTGAGGGGGGGTTGGTGGTGTGTCGCTGGAGGAGAGCAGAGGCTTCAGTATGGAGGACGTGCGGTCAAAAGCTACCACATTCTTCCTTTAATACCGGTTGTGCCATTACCTATTGACCTTATCTTAGTTTTAATGTTGCATATTTATCAGCCTGCAATTAAGTGCCTCACTTTTAATCACAAGATTTTTTTGTAATACTAGTAAAACAGTCTTGTTTGTTTTTACAATATATATATATATATATTTTCTATTGGTGAATAGGAACAGCATGTCGTCCTTATAACTTACCTTAGTCTTCTTGTCTGCCAGGTCTTTGCTCGGTGAGGTGCTGCTTCCGTTACTTGCAGGTTTTGCTTTCTTGACCTTCTCTCCTGCGTCTGCTTTTGCAGCTTTGTCCTTCTTCTCATCCTTCTTCTCCGCTGTCTTTTTGTCGGCCTGCTTCTCATCCTTATCAGTCTTCTGTTTTTCTACCGATTTCTCGGCCGGTTTGTCTTCTTTCTCTGTCTTCTGTGCTTTGTCCTCTTCTTTCTTACTTTCTTTCACCTCTGCTGTCGCCGTCATCTCGGTGTCAGACTTCGTCTCCACCTTGTCAGAACCGATATCGAGTTTGGCGGCTGTCGGCTGTTGCTCTGGGGTCTTTTCCACTTTGTCCATGTGCTGCTCTTTGACATCCTTCACTTCGGTTTTGTCAACCTTTTCAGAGTTTTTCATCTCGGTTTTTTCTTCCACTTTTTCCACATTCTCTGTTTTCTTAACTTTGTTCTCTGCCTCCTCTGTCACCTGAACTTTTTGGACGTTCTCCGCCTTGTCCTCAGTCTTGAACAATTTATCGGGGGAAAATTCTACCTTCACTTTGTCTTCCTTTTCTGCCTTCTGTTGCATCGACTCTACTTTCTCTTTGTCCTTTTCAGCCTCCTTCTTTTCTTCTTCCTTCTTTGCCTGTTTCTCAATCTCTTTGGTTTTTTCTGCCTCTTTCTCCTTTTCCTTCAACATTTCTGCCTGTTTCTCCTTCTCTTTCAACTTTTCGGCCTCCTTCTCCTTCTCTTTCAACTTTTCTGCCTCCTTCTCCTTCTCTTTCAACATTTCTGCCTCTTTCTCCTTCTCTTTCAACTTTTCTGCCTCCTTCTCCTTCTCTTTCAACTTTTCTGCCTCCTTCTCTTTCAACTTTTCTGCCTCCTCCTTCTCTTTCAACTTTTCTGCCTCCTTCTCCTTCTCTTTCAACTTTTCTGCCTCCTTCTCCTTCTCTTTCAACTTTTCTGCCTCCTCCTTCTCTTTCAACTTTTCTGCCTCCTTCTCCTTCTCCTTCAACATTTCTGCCTCTTTCTCCTTCTCTTTCTGTGCCTCCTTCTCTTTTTGTGCCTTCTCTGTCTCTGTCTCCACCTTGCCTGGAGTCGGATTGCTCACATATTCCACCTTCACGCTCTTCTGATCGGCTTTTTCCAGAGGTTCAAAGAATTCTATCTTCTTATCATTGTCTTCCTTCTTCTCAGTTTTCTCCATCATGCCAGATTTGACTGAAATAAAAAGGATAATTGTAATTAAGAATAATGCCAACAGATCAGACAGATTTTGAAAAATGGCTCCCTGTGCACATACACATCAAATACTGAGTTAATCTGCATCTTTTATACCAACATCATTTCAGGTAAAATGAGGCTGCTGTTGCCCTTGAGTTCTGTGTTCATGCCAGAGAAAAAGAGACAAGTACTGACCTCACAGATATTTATTATTGGTGAAGGTGAAAAAAAGGAATAGTGAAGATAAAATTGCCATTCGCTACAACATAAGTAACACGTTAAAGATCTAATTGATAAATAAGCCACAGTTGAAATCCTTTAAAAATTATGAGAATGTTGATAAAAAATACCTGTTTTATAAATCTTACATGTGACATACAATTCAGCCGACACTGTTCTGTGTTGTTTCTACAGCACAGGAAACAAATTCTCAAAAAAAAGTCTGAAATCCTGAATAAAATGCCCTTCTTTAGGTTCAGTGGGGAAGGGTGATTTTATTTTCACAGGTTCCTTTCATGTCAGTGCGCCTACGTGGGTCACTGAAGCAAAACGTGTCCTCTGTGCAGATTGATTTCCGTTGCTCGAAGGCAGGTTGAACTGTTCTATTTGTTTGAAGACTGAACAGAGACAAAGGACTCAGAGAGCGAGAGACATGGGACTGAGTAAAAACACACAATTTGCCAGACCAGATGACAAGGAGATAGACAAAAAGGTCATACTGTCGCTGACATGGTCCTAATCATCCATCCACATAAACTTAGAAAAACAAAGGCAGAGAAAGATAGCGTGAGAAAGAAAAGGTATTACAGTCCCATCTTCCCTCACATCAAGTCTCACTTCCTGTATCCCCATGACAGATCATCCCTCTCCTGTACTTCTTGTTTTGCTCTACATCTCCCCCTCCCCTTTCCTCTCCACTTCCTCCCACTCCCTCCTTACAGTCTCCAGTGCTTTCTACTACAGATGTGTTATTTCCATCCTTGGTCTCTGTCTTTTTTATTCTGCAACATATAGACTTATAATTAAACAACCCTATCTCTTCCTGTTGCCCAGGTCACTACACTATCAGGGAAGGAAGCAGCAGGAATATAAAAGTGAACGTAAGAGAGTAGGATAAACCCAAGATCTTCTTCTGAAAGATCTGATGAGAACCTCAGAACCTCAAAGCAAAAATCAATCAAAGTACATTTTGTTTCCTAGTCAACAATACTGCAGCTGAAAGCTTCCTGAACAACAGTCTACAGCTGATTGTATTCTCAGGGTACTTTGGATCAATACTGGCATTGATGAGGTTTCATATAAAGATAAGATTGGATTTGAGTTTGATTTGATCAGATATATAGGCGCTAATAATGGGGGTAAAAGCTTTTTCTTGTTCAAATATTTGGCAACAATTTATAAATTACTTTGTTTCTTTTCAGCATATGACTCCTTATAAGTCATTACTAAGCATGTATTAATGCGTTTAATGAACAGCTTATGGGATAGATCTTTTTCCTATATAACAAACTAGTATCGGGATCAGTACAGCTTAAAGGAATATTTGATTTGATTCCTTGTTATCATTAAAGGTAATGTCTGTTTAAAGGTCACATATTATCCTCCTTTTCCACCAGTTTAAAGAAGTCTCTGAGCTCCGCAAAACATGTCTTTTAGTTTGCTTGCCAAAAATCCACTCTGATCCTGTATTTGATCATGTCTATAAACCCCTCTTTTTCAACCCTGCTCAGAACAGGCCGTTTCTGTGTCTGTACCTTTAAATGTAAATGATCTGTGTCTGGCCACGCACCTCTGGAAGGGCTTGGGTGTATTTCGGCATTCTTGCACGATGTCCTATTGTTTACGGTGAGAAGGCAGACTCAGAGGGCAAAAAAAAAAAACTAGCTATGTGAGTCTCACCCACCTGGGGGAGAGGTTACTGCCCTTTGTGATGTCACAAAGTGAAAATCTCCAAATAGAGTGTAATAACTATGTTTTCCTCTTCATTAGTAATAACAAAGGGTTTTTGGGCTTTCAAATATTGTTTGCCCCTAAATAATCAATGATTACTGATTACTGCTAATAATGAACCATGAATCACTCATATCTTCATACGTTTTGCTGGCCTTTCCTGTAGGTAGCATCACTCAGCAAACTGAGGAAATTGTTAAAGATTATGATTTAGGCACAAAAACTGAATTTCTCACTATTAATAAGTAATTACTACCAGGTGAGTAAACTCGTATTTAAAGACACAGTAGTCCAGTAGTTGCTTTATAATGACTAATAATGAGCTGAACTGCTCCCAATATACATGCTTATAAGCTCCTATAAACTAGTTAATGTGCACCTATAGAGTGTTACCAGATTTTCTCATTTCATTTTAACTGATCATCTGTCACCTCTGTATTATACCTTCTTATTGAATTCTGTAGTTTTACTCAAAAGGGAACAGAAACTAGCAGCACTGATCTGCTCTGAGAATAAAGAAAGAATTCAGTGTCACAAAACAACACTTGAAGCAGAGTTTGTAGTAGTTTATTTTTAGACCAGACTCACTGATGTGAATAAAGACCAAATACTATGAGTCTGGATGACGCTGCTGCCCTACTAAACCAAAATATCACGCGATGTAAACAAGCTAAAAGAAGATTTGTCTCATCTGTTGACTCACTGCATGAAACATGGGCATCATCTGACCTCAGGTGATGCTGACCTAACAACGAGTTCAGCTGAGCACCAAATATACTATACTGACCCAGTTTAGTACAGGATCCTCTGATGATTCTTTCTTTTCTTAAAGATAACAACAGAAAAGATGACAGATAGGATCATCTGCTGTAAATATTAATGGATGACACCTGAGTAACGTCACTCATTCGTTACTGCAGAGGGATTTGGAAGCCCGTTAATGGTGGTCGCCATGCTAGAAATGCTGTTTCACCTTAACTTTCAGTCAGCCTAACACCAGGCAAAGCACTGGAGCTGAGGCTGGTCTTTTTTTTAGTTTTTGGCCCTTTTATTGTGTGCCTTTATTATAGAGATAGGATTGTGGATAGAGCCGTAAATCAGGATGCCAGAGAGAGCGGGGAACGACATGCGAGGAAAGGAGCCAGAGGACGGATTCGAACCTGAGCGCCCCCCCCCCCCGAGCCAGGTCTTAAGCCTTCTGACAAACAGCTACATGTACAAGTACATCAGTCAGGTCAGCTACACACCTTATTGTGAGTAACCCTTATAATTCATCGAATAAAAAGTGATGAGTTATCAAAAAAGTACCCCCTGTACAGTGTGCACCAGTAGAGACATGAGCTAATCAGACCTATTACATTCCTAGAGATTTTATTGTAATCATACAATCAGACAGATTAACATGGCAGTATTGAGGTTGTTGTGGGGGGTGGGGTGTGCTGAGGGATTGAGTGAGTTGTGTCTGAAGAAAGCAATTGTTTTGATCGAAAAAATCTGCTATGAGAGTGGCATAAGTAAGCCTTTAAAACTAGAGAGGACCACTGACAAAGAAAGGGATTTGAACTCAAACTTATACTGCTACCTGTTGTGTTTCTGACTCATATGAAGTCAGAGAAATGGTGTCCAAGGAGGGAAACTGAGCCAAATGATTGTTAAAGAAAGGGTAAAACTGAAGGAGGGATGAGGTGGGGGGATGGCTTAAGAGCTTGAGTGCTGGTGTGCAATATATTGATCAGCAGATTAAGAGCTGAGTGGGCGGACAGAAGGCGAGCGAGATGAAAGACAAATAATGAAGGAACAAAAGAGGGTAAAAAAAAAACCCTGACCTCATTAGGATTGTTTACACATTCCTTTTTCCAATTCTGTGTTTTTGCAGTTTATGTCTTTTTTTTTTTTTTTTTTAATACTACCAGGCCAATTATAATACAATACTCTGAAGAAAAATATGCAAAACCACAATAGGCTGAAAAAGAGACAGAGGGAGGACAACAGAGGAAGGAAAGGAGGGAACAAGCCGAGTCAGAAGTGAGTAGAATGAAATTACATTGTTTGTTTACATAAGATGCAGGAACCTCCGACCTGGAGCAGTGACATACATCACACCTTACAGGGGGGGAACACAAATCAGTGACTGCATGAATCAAACAAAGGTGACCTAAATAAAGTGAGAAAACAGAGGGACAGGAGGTAGGAAGGTAGGGAGCAAGACAGAAGGAAAAGTTTAAAAAAAAAAACTAAAAAAAAACACTGTGAACAAAGAGAGGCTCAGGAGATAAACTTGATCCTTTAATTAGGGCAGAAACCCGATACGTGTCACAGCTGTGGGAAGCAGAGAGGTGGAAATTGCTTCATTTAAGCAGACAAGACATGACACCTAACCTACCTACTCTCTACTGTGAGACCCTTTTCGCCCACAATGCTTTTCCTTTTTTGGGAACATATCCTCTTTACCCAGAAAAAGACTCTCCGCCTGTTTTCAGACAAAGCACCATCAGGTACAAATGACCCTTTGACCAGCACATTCTTTCTACAACACCGAAGCAGAAAGCACTCAAACACCAGAGGAATGGGACCAGAGGGAAACATACTATGAGCTCGAGTCTTTGGACAACAACAAAAAAATGAGCGATGATTCACCTCCCAAGAGAGGGGCATCAATTATTGATGGAGCTTTTGATTGGAATCATCAATCACAGTTTCCCTTGAGGCTGTGGGTTGGTGATAGAGGGCAACTCTGAGAGAAATATTTGATGAGAACATAAGGGTGGAGTGGCGGTCAGACATGATGTCAGTAATAACTCCTGAAGTGCAGTCATGACAATATGAGAGCAACATTCCCCATAAAGTATAGCCAAAGCTTTTCATACAGCTGCGTCTGTTTCAGGGTCTGAGTTAAGACTGCTATGGGATATGAGAAGGTCTTACCTGGAAGTGTTTGTTTTTATTGCAAAGTCACAGTGATTTGAATTACTCTGTTAATTCACAAGTAAATCACAGGAAAATCGAAATGTCTTTTTCGGGCTCTACTGCTAACGCAGTCCGAAGTG